GACCTATCCCCACTTATTTTTTTTTTCTGCCGCCGACTGGGGAGAGACTGTTTTTTCTGCGGAGGATTTTTCTATGTCCTTGCAGCGCTCTGCACTCTATTCTCGGTCACCACACAACCATCTCCACCACCACCACATGCCCAATATGACGGACAAAGTCGGCAAGAAAAGAAAGCTCAAAGAGACGAGCGGCAGCGGCGAGCGGGCTGAGAAGCGGGCAGCGACGGCCAACGATGCGACGAGCGACCGCAAGGCGTTGAAGAAGGCGAAGCGGGCAGCAGCAGCAGCAGCCGCCGCCGTGGCAAATGACGACGACGATAGCGACAATGTCGAGACGGAGCGGGAATTGAGGAAGAAGGCCAAGAAGACGAGGAAGCAAAAGAAGGCTGAGGAAGAGGAAGCGGAGGCGGAGCAGGAGGAGCAGGAGGAGGAGGAAGAGGCTGAAGAGGCTGAAGAGGCTGAAGAGGACGTGGTGGAAGAGGCCGCCAAGGCTTCCGACGCCGAGGACGACGAAGAAGAAGACGACGGCACATCCGACCCAGCACAGCTGCCGGCGGCCAGCGACGACGCCGACACGCAGCACCTCACACTACCAGCCGTGGGCGGCGATGCGTCCACGACGCCCAACGGCTCGACGGCGTTTGCCGACCTCACCATCTCCGACAAGACCAAGCGCGGCCTGGCCGACATGGGCCTCGAGACCATGACCGAGATCCAGCGGCGCGCACTGCCGCCTCTATTGGCCGGCAAGGATCTGCTGGGCGCGGCCAAGACGGGCTCCGGCAAGACACTGGCATTCCTGATCCCGGCCGTTGAGATGCTCTACTCGCTCAAGTTCAAGCCGCGCAACGGCGTTGGTGTCATTATCGTCACGCCGACGCGTGAGCTGGCCCTGCAAATCTGGGGCGTTGCACAGGAGCTCATGGCCCACCACACGCAGACGACGGGCATCGTGATGGGCGGCGCCAACAAGCGCGCCGAAGCCGAGAAGCTGGGCAAGGGCGTCAACCTGCTGGTGGCCACGCCCGGCCGCCTGCTGGACCACCTCTCCAGCACCCCGTTCCTGTACAAGCACCTGCGCTCGCTGATCATCGACGAGGCCGACCGCATTCTCGAGGTCGGTTTCGAGGACGAGCTGCGCAAGATCATCCAAATCCTGCCCAAGCAGCGGCAGACGATGCTGTTCTCTGCGACGCAGACCCAGAAAATCGACGACCTCGCCAAGGTGTCGCTGCGCGCCAACCCGCTGTACCTCAACGTCGACGAGGAGCAGCAGTTTAGCACGGTGGACGGCCTCGAGCAAGGGTACGTGGTGTGCCCCTCGCAGAACCGGTTCCTGCTGCTGTGGTCGTTTCTCAAGAAGATGGCCGGCAAGAAGAAGGTGATTGTCTTTTTCAGTTCGTGCAATTCGGTCAAGTACCACGCCGACCTGCTGCGCTACATTGACCTGGGCGGCGTGCTGGACCTGCACGGCAAGCAGAAGCAGGCCAAGCGCACGGCGACCTTTTTCGAGTTCATCAACGCCGAGCACGGCATTCTGCTGTGCACCGACGTGGCGGCGCGCGGCCTCGACATCCCCGCCGTCGACTGGATCGTGCAGTTCGACCCGCCGGACGACGGCCGCGCCTACGTGCACCGTGTGGGCCGCACGGCGCGTGGCAAGCAGGGCCGCGGCAAGTCGCTGCTGTTCTTGCTGCCGAGCGAGGTCGGCTTCCTGGCGTACCTGCGCGAGGCGCGCGTGCCCGTCGTCGAGTACGAGTTCCCCACCAACAAGGTGCGCAACGTGCAGGCGCAGCTCGAGAAGCTGCTGGCACAAAATTACTATCTGCACCAGTCGGCCAAGGACGGGTTCCGCGCGTACCTGCACGCGTACGCCAGCCACAGTCTGCGGTCTGTGTTTGACGTGCTGAAGCTGGACCTGGCGGCCGTGGCCAAGAGCTTTGGCTTTGCAACGCCGCCGCGTGTCGATCTGACGCTGGCGGCCAGCATGGGCAAGAACAAGGCCAATGGCGCGGGCAACAGCGGTGGCCGGCGGGCGTACGGCAGCCAGCCACGGCAACAGGGCGGCGGCCAAGGCCGCTTTAAGCAGAGGCAATAGGGGGATGAGGGGATAAAGAGCACGTTGTATAAAATGGGAGTTGTTCTGCTGTTTTTGTTTTCTTGTTCACTCGGCCGCCTTTCCTCCTACTATTTACCATGCAATTTAGACTGCCTTTTTCATAGTTATAGCATTCGGTCAACGGTTATCAAAACGGTTTCGTTCTATTTACTACTTGCTCCTTCTGCTACTTGCGTCTCGAAATTCGCCGCGGCGTTGTCGTAGGGCCTCATGAGCCGGCAGTAGCCGTGTGTTTAGTGGCATACGGCCAGTTGGATCAGGCACTCATTGGTCACGGCGATTGACTTGAGTTCGGTCTCTCGGTCCAGGTCTCTCTACCAGAGGAAACTAAGCGGAAACTTAACGGCGGCTGATCCAGGACGAAACATAGCTAAATGCCCTTGTTTAAATTCATGTATCAAGAAGAAAGAAAATGTAAAGGTAGGGATACACTGTCCAATCCTTTTGAGATGTAATATAAATCCTACAAGCATTCGTCGGCAAGGTACAAAGGTCGACAGCGTACTTCACCGCGTTGGGCTCAACACCTTCAACGTTTTAAAAGGAGGTACCACTTACGTGGAAAAAAATAAGGGATATATTAGGTGCGAAGATGCAAACCATGACGCATTGCCAAAATGTTACAAAGGACTCGTCCCATTGCACTTGGCGGGCAGCAATGACGCGTTGATGCCCACCAGCCCGTCAATGTACGTCAGCAGCGCGTCCAACGGGACCATGTCGAGCAGGCCCAGCTCTGGATGCGACGAGCGCAGCACCTTTCCACCAAACAGGACGCGGACGTCATAAGAGGACGACGAGCCCTCGTGCGTGGTCTCCGTCTCCTTCTTCCACAACTCCACGACAACCTCACTACCCATACCTGGCCATACCATCTCGTCCGCCTGCAAGATGGACAGCAGCCGGCTCACGCTGCCGTCGTGCGCCACATTGTGCCGGTATCGCACCCGGTCTTTTCCGTGTTTCGAGTCCGGCGACGGCGTCGCCGCCGCCCGCAAGTGTCTCGCCAGCTGCGCCACCCACACGCCCCAGGCACCGGCACTCGCCGCCAACGACCGCGCATCGTCCCGGTACATGCGGCTGTACTCCCACTGGCCCACGCGGAACACGGTGTCGGCCACGTCCTGCGGGATGCCCTCGACGGGCGGTTTGCCGTGACACTGGCGCGCCGACAGGTTGTCGAAATAGTGGTCGACGCTGGTGTGGAACCCGCGCGGATCGGCCGGTTCGACGCCGGAAGCAGCGTCGAGCTTAGCAAACAGGGGCTGCAGTTGCTCGAGGTGGTCGGCCCAGACGGGGGAGCCACCTTGGGCGCTCTCGGACGTGATGGCGCTGAACAGGTCGGCAGCGGCCGGGCAGGTGTACTGGGGCTCCAAACTGTCAAAGCCGACGGCCTCCACGGACAACGGCGTGGACGGCACGGGAAGGCCGCCAGCCGCAGCGGCCATGCCGCCGAGGACCATGGCGACGGTCTGGCTGGTGATGGGGTTGTTGGTGACGCGGACGGCGACCTGCTCGCGCCAGGCAGCGGCGTCGTTCATGGCCGGCAAGAAGCCCAGCAGGTCGTGGTAGACGCCGTACAGGTCGGACCCATGGAGCCAGGCGTCCTCCAGGCCGCCCGACGTCAGCTGTGGGAACTGGCAGGAGCCGTGCCAGGCCGGAGCAGCGGCGAGGAACGGGTTGCTGGGCGCCTCAAAGGTGGGCACGTAGAATACGACGCCGGGCCGCTTGTCGCGGCTATGGACGGGGTCGGTGTAGAGGTGGATGCGCGCGTCGTCGCACTCCCATTGGTAGGGCTCGTGCGGGAAGCCATTGGACGCATACGGGGTGCGCTTGTGGTGGCGATGAACGAGCTCGACGTACACGAGCGTGCGTTTCTGGTCCGCCGACGGAACGACATACTCCGCGGCGCGCACGTGTGGCATATTGCACCAGTTGTAGGTGCCATAGGCTCCGTCGGGCGTCGTCGAGCCGTTGAAGTAGAAGCCGTAGACGCCCGTCGTGGACGGTGACAGCGCCACAGTCAGGTTGTTCAGGTTGGACGCCCGCGGCGCATACCAGGGGCTGCCCGGCGGCGGTGTCTCGGGCACCTGCGACGCGCCAAAGTTGTGCAAGCCATCGGCGGCACTGCGCTCGCTGTCCGGAAACGAAAGGTCGAGGGAGAGCGACCAGGGGCGCATGCTCCCGGCCGCGGTGGTCGTCACGAGTGCAATCACCAGCGAGTGGACGGCCAGATAGATGCCCATACCGACGACGATGCGCACGGCCCAACGGCCCACAGCAGTGTCGGCCATGAGAGGAGTGACGGTTGAAGTGGAGGAATCAATAACACGAGGCAATAAGAGAGATCAACAGTCAACTGCAGAGAGCGGCAATCATGTCGACACCGTCAAATACCTTGGAGATTCACATCAGCGAGGTCATATAGGTATACTGAAGATGAACTAAGCAGCATAGTGACAAGGTACGTGGATGAAGAGCGCGCAAGGCGACATAAGAAACAACGGATGTTGGAATTGGTGTTGACAGTGCGTGTCGATGCGCGGCAGCGCAAGGCTGTAGCGCTAAGAGCCAATGCAGCACACTAAATCCTCCCCGTGTTCCTTAATTGGCAAATCTGGGCACCAGCCAATCGTCTGTTGCCGTTGGCCCACCACGTGCTATGAGAGGCTGTCGATCTGATGACAGCGCAAAAGCCTTTTAAACACTGAAGAAATATGTCGTGCACTTCTTTTTTTTTAAAAAAAAATGTTATTTTAATTGTTATTTTAATCACCTCCACAAATTTGATACATTTTCAAGCTGCGGTTCGGTCGTGATACTACTGTACATTTGATTCGTGGTCACGTTGATAAAGGAAGACACATTCGGCACAGGTTATTTAGGAATACATCCGCTCGATGGCGGCAACTTGGACGCTGTCCAGCACGCCCCGGTCGACCTTGCGGTACCGCACTTCCCACTGTAGCCAGTCCTCGATCCCTGGGATGTGGGCGCCCAGCGTTGGCAAAACCAGCAGCCGCCCGGGCGGCCGGGACGGATCAGGCCACGCCTTGCGGTGAGCCTGCTCGAAGCGCCGCTGGTCGCGTTCCCAGGTGAAGAGGTCGAACTGGCGGTGGCCAGAGTTGCGAAAAGGGGGCGGTTCGTCGCTGGCGTAGTCGACGCGGTCGTCTTTGGCGTCTCCACCTTCGCCTGCGCTGTCCACGGCATCCGCCGCGTCCTCCGCGTCCTCCCCGTCCTCCCCGTATTCGGCGTAATTTTCCGCCGCGGATGCCTCCGGCCAGTACGCGCCGCCATCGAGGGCAAAAGAAACGTCACTCGACGCATAGATGGCTGGCAGCGTGTAGCGCACTTTCCCCGGCGCATAGGTCTTGAGGGTGGCCAAAAACGCCGACAGGCGGCCAGGGCCGGACGGGCCCGCGGCCAGCGCTTCACGGAAGGGCTTACTGTGCTCCCTGTCAAACGGTTGCAGGACGACATTGGCCGGCAGCCGCGTGCGGATGCGGACCCAGAAGCGTCCGTCGTACAAATTCCAGCGGCTCCAGCTGGACCAGCGCCACTGCGAAGGAGGGCAGTTCCAGCGGTACGAGAGCGCCAGCGACTGGAAGCGGATGGCGGGGATGGTGGTCACGCCAGGCGGCGCGCGCTCGGGCGACGCGTAGGGCGCGCGGGCGAGGTACCAAGAACGCGTGTATCGGTCGGGCGGCGCCGACTTCGACAGCGACGGCCACGCGCCCGGTGCTGAGTTGTCGAAAAACGGCATGAAATGGGTGCCGCAGATGATAAAGGCCTTGGGGTCGGCGGCGGCCCGGGCTGCTGTCTCCTTCGCATCGGGGTCCACCAGATCCGGGAACAGCGTGTCGACAACGCCCTGTAGTTGTGATACGGGCGTCACGTTCGTCTCCGGCGTGACATACGCGAGCAGTTTCTGAACGACCAGGGCGGCAATCGTGCGTAGATACAGACGACGGCGCTCGGCGGAGGCAATCGCATACGAGCCGGTTCCCCTCCGCCACGGTCTCCGTCGTGCCTTGGCCTGCAGCCGCGGCAACCGAGCCACAATGGTGCCCACATTCGTGTTGAATCGCACGACCACACCGTGCCGCACAATCAGCCGTCGCGCCTCGGCCTCGTGCTGCCGCGAAGTGGCATCGCAGCGTGCCGCCAGCTCCAGAATGGCCGGCTTCTGCAGGGCTTGGGGCAACGCGTGGTGCTGTGCCACGTACCGCAGCGCATTCCGCATTGTCAGTGTCGGGTCCGCGTTCGTATGGTCTTCAAACCAAGGCACGTTGTTCGCCAGGCATGTGGCCACGAGCCGTTCCTTGGCAAACGGCAGCAGCGGTCGGTACGCCACAATGCCCAAGTCCTCGGTGTCCAGCGGCGCCAGCGGGGGCGCCGAGTGGCCCAGCAGCTGGTGCAGGTGCGTCCACTGCCTCCACTGGCGGTCCATGTTGCTGCCCGCGCCGTCCCCCAGCACCGACGCCGCCAGGCGCATGTCCTCGCGAAACTCCATCTTCATGTACCGCCGCTGCAATCGCGACGGGCGCATGATGACGTACGGCATCGGCTCGTTCTGGTCGTCCACGAAGCCGCTCTGGTGCGCGCCGTAGATGTCCTGGCACTCGGGCAGGTCGGCGGCCGCGCGCATGCCCCGCAACCCGCGGATGCCGCCGTTCAGGCCGTAGCCCGAGAGCAGCCGCATCAGAACGGTCTCGTACTGGTCGTCCTCGTGGTGTGCCAGCAGCAGCGTCACGATTCTGAGATGGGCGAGCCGCAAGCCAAACTCACGGTAGCGCAGCCGCCGCGCCGTGGTCTCCAGAGCCGAAGGCAGGCCGGTAGGTGCTGGTCCTGATCCAGACCCAGACCCAGAACCAGGCACCGTTTCTGCCTCAGGCCATCGCAGCGGCCATATCTGGTATCTGTGTCCCATTTCCACCAGCGCCTTGCCGACCGCCTTGGCCTCTTCGCCACTGCCTTCGCGCAGGCCGTGGTCAATCACCAGCCCCGTGAACCCACCCGTAGGCGCGTCGCTGATGCGCATGAACGGGTGGAAACGACGGGCCTCAGCGCAGAGGAACGCAAGTGCCATGGAGTCGACACCGCCGCTGATGGCCATGCCAACGCGGCGGTGGTACACGGCGCGCCCATGCGGGAACCGCGGGGGCGCGGCCGCGCGCAGGGCATCAATAAACTCGGAGACGGCAATTGGCTGGGCGGTGCGATGGAGCACAGGGTGCAAGCTCATCGGAAGTCGTAGTATCGTGGCCGTGTGGGGGACTCTACCGGGGTCGTTGTGGTCAATGTACGCCTGAGAAAACTGGTCGAGGTAAGCGAGCGGTCGGCGAACGACGTTGACAAGAACGGCGGGTGACGACTCCGCACATGGTACGGTGACTGTCTGACTGTCGAGCTGGGCAGTCAATGTGGCCGTTTAGGGCGCGTTTTGGGGTCGAGGAGAGCTAGGTTGAGGTTCGACAAATAAAAGTGGGGAGCACCTTTCAAGGATATTTTCGGAGCTCAGCGATGACGGCGCTTTGCGCCGAGCTTAATTACGACTCAAAGCCGCACGCGACACAACGTACAGCAACATAAAGACTGCAGATTCCGCAGAACACGGAGCGGAAGCGCTCCCCGTTCGCGCTTCACCTTTTTCTCCTCAGCGGTCATGGATTACTCCACTGCGCTGCTGGCCGGCGCCGTCGCGGGCACCTCGGTCGACCTCAGTCTCTTTCCCCTCGACACCCTCAAGACCCGCCTGCAGGCCGGCCCGGGCCAGTTCTGGGCCAGCGGCGGCTTCTCGGGCATCTACCGCGGCGTGGGCAGTGCTGTCGTCGGCTCTGCGCCGGGTGCCGCCCTCTTCTTCGTGACCTACGAGGGCGTCAAACATGCCGTCGACCGCAGCACAAAAGGAACAAGAGGCGCTGCCTCGCCCTATACACACATGCTCGCCGCCTCGCTAGGCGAAATTGCCGCATGCGCCGTCCGCGTGCCCACTGAAGTCGTCAAGCAGCGCGCCCAAGCCGGCCAGTTCGCCTCGTCCGCCCTGACGCTGGCGGCCATCCTGCGCGGACCCAGCGTCTTCCGCAATCTGTACCGCGGCTGGAGCGCCACCGTGCTGCGCGAGGTCCCCTTCACCGTCGTGCAGTTTCCGCTGTGGGAGGCCATGAAGGCGTGGCGGCGGCGCAACAAGAACGGCCAGGAGGTGTCGGCCTTTGAGAGCGCCGCGTTTGGCAGTTTGGCCGGCGGCATTGCAGCGGCCGCCACGACGCCGCTGGATGTTCTCAAGACGCGCATCATGCTCAGCACGGAGCGCCAGTCGCTGGTGCCCCTCGTGCGCAGCATCATGGCCGAGCAGGGTGTCGGCGCTTTTTTCGCCGGCCTCGGCCCGCGAGTCACCTGGATCAGCATCGGCGGTGCAATCTTCTTGGGGAGCTACCAGTGGGTAGTCAACTTCGTCGGCGCACGGCGCGACGGTGGTGCAGGCGGCGAGCCAGGCGAAAAGACAAGGATAGACTTATAGATGACGAGAGGCGTTTCATCTGAATGTTATGCGACATAGACAGCTTGTATCATAGCCACATTGCATAGGGAAAACGCAGTACCTGTGCCTGTAGATAAAATAAATGAAGAGCGACTTAATAATGCAAGCAGACATAAGAGTAGCGCGCAAAAAGCATCTTCAATTCAAAACGACACCAAGAGGTACATAATCAGAAAAAGTATACAAACAAGATGGAAACATCCAAAATTTCCAACTAGGTGAGAGATAATTATTAGACAACAAAAATCAGCAACATCAGAGCCTCCTTTTATATGCGCCTCGTCGCAGAGTCGTCGTATTGCGCCGCTGCCGTTGCAGTTGCTGCAACCGGTACCGCGCCAGACAATGTGCCATCAGTTGCAGCACCGTCACCGTTGGCTGGAGCCTCTCCAACAGCTTCTGTGGCCGGCGCCGATGCTGCCGCCTTCGCTGCGGCCTCGGCCGCTGTTGGTAACTTCTTGCGGCCGTTGGACTTGTAATACAGCAAAATGTCGTTACTGTTCTTCCAAATGTGTGCCCGAACCGTTGCGAGGCTCATCGCATGGGGAAGGCGCTGCATCATATTAGTCATTGATCGCCAGATTGGTTAAATGAGGTCCAACTATGCAATACATACCTGCTCGTTACAGTAGAGCTCAAGGTACTCTTCGGGCTTCAGGACCTCGGCCTCGGGCTGCGGCGCAGCCGGATTAGATGAAGCAGCGTCGGCGGCAGCGGCGGCCGTGGAGCCCTCTTTCGCCTCGCCTTCCTCAGCCTCTTCGGCCACCGTCGGTGGGATGGTCGCCGGGGACGGTGCTGGCGCTGGTGCCGGTGGCTCGAGTTTCTCGGCCACGTACGCCAGAATCTTCTTAACACGCAGCATCCGGTTCGCGTTCAACCGGCTGCTGCCGTCAGGCGCCGACAAAGGCGGCAATTCGTCGTGGTACGGCAGTAGAAGGAATGAAATCTTAGTTGACTCCTTGATGGGCGCCGCATTTGCGAGAATCGCCTCGCCCAGCCATATGGGTGCACACCGCTCGATCTTGTCGACATGGCTCGGATGACCCAGACCGCCGACCGTGCCCCGGTACAGCTCGATACTGCCGCCCTTGAGCTCCTCCTGAATGATGACCTTGGTCTTGTCCGGGATCCGCAGTACAGGTGCTTCGTCAGGCTGGCACGGCTGCATGCGCGACACGACGAAACGGTCTGGGTTGTCGGCCAGTTGCTTCTCATAGTCGTTGTGCATGCGCTGCACGGCGCCCACGAAGCAGTCGTCGACTTCCTTTTCGTGACTCGACGCAGACTCTGACTTGTCTTCGCCAGGAGTGCCGTTGGCAGCCTTGTTCTCTTCTGCTGTCGCAGCCACAGCTGCCGGCTTCTCTGGCACGCTTGTCGACGCGGAGCGGTTGGTTTTCTTAGTTCCAAAAGACATACCCATCCGAATCTTCTTGCCAAATACGCCCTTGCCAGATGAGGTTGCTGCGGCAGCAGCAGCTTCCTCTTCCTTTTTCTTTGCCGCCGCTTCAGCCGCGGCTGTCGCTGTCGGATTATCAGCCGCTGGTGTACCCACAGGCCGAATTGCACCCGGACCAGGTGTCGTTGGCTCGACAGATGTGATGGCATTTGAGAAGTAGTCCTCCTTCTCTGTACCGCCAGTTACCGCTCCTGCTGCCGAGTTCAACGCTGTTGGGAGAGGTGTAGCCACTCCAATACCTGGCGTCGGCGGAACGTTTCCTGCGTGGGTCGAGTCGCCATTGGCGGCCACGGAGGATGAGCCAACGTCAAGCATGCTGAGTTTGCTTGCCGCTGCCACAGCTTGGACCCGCTTCTCGACCGCCTCGTTGAGCTTGGCCCGGTGAGCCTCGTCACGGCGGATTTCCTCGTCAATAAGGTTAGCAAACAGGTACCGCAGCACCCACTTGCCCAAGTTGATCCGCTGGTCGTCGCGGAAATCAACTGCATCCTTTGTATCGGAGCCATCGTTGCTGGCCTCGAGCTCGTCCGCATACATCTCCGCATCGAAACAGTTGTACTGCTCAAGGACAACTGTGAGCTGGCCTGAACTGACGTCGACCGAGCACCAAGGTGCGACGGCCTCGGTTGTGTTGACTTCGGGCTCAACGTCCTCAAGGTGGCGCTTGCCAAACTGGCGGATCTGCTTGCAAGCAATAATGTCCCACAAAATAACCTCACCAGCCGTGTCAAGCGTCAGCACACGCCGACGGTCGTTGAGGAGACGGTGCTTAACCAAGCCAAAGTTGCCTTCGATCGTCTCCACAGGTAGCCGGTGCATAGGCTCCACAGCTTCGGGTGCATTGTCTCCGCCGTTAGGAATAATCTCGATGCCTTTGCGGCTCACGCCTGGGCCAGGAGGACTACCTGAAACCCCGTCAACAGAAGCACCGCCAGGGCTGCCAGGGGTGGCGCCAGTCGTGACAGGGAAGATGGCCGTGTTCGAGATGCGCAGGATCGACTTGGCCGGGATGTCGGCAGGCACAACGCGCGGAGCTGGCTTAGTACCCGTGACGGTCGAAACGGACGAGCTGTGGGGGCGTGCCGTCTCGCTCGTAGGCGAAAAAGGTCGGGGCGGCTGGTAGGCAGAATCCTCGTCAGGGGTTGTGTTGACATCAGCCCAGCGGTTGATGGATGAGCTAGACGTCGCCGTCCAAATATAACCGTTGCTGGCCACAACTTTGCTGATACTGTTGTGCTCCTGAGCCACGGCAACGGAAAGACCATTGTCCCAGTCGTTGAGGTTGCCACGGACGTCTGTCTTGACAACAAGGCCGGAACGGTCACTGCTGTAGAAGACACTCAGGTCAGGCGCGTCCGAGTACAGCGACCACACGCTGTCGTTGTGCATGGTCAGGGTTTGTATGCAACGACCGGCAGTGACGCTCCACACTTTTACGGTCTGGTCAGAGCTGGCGGTCATGATCGTGTCACCGGAGTCGTTAACAAGGATCGAACGGACGTTATCGGTGTGGCCGACGAACTTGGTGATGTTCTTGCCCCCAGCACGAGGATCCCAGAGGCGAACAGTGGACTCGGGCCCACCGCTGGCCAGCACATTGTGATTCGCGCGGAGCGCATAGACGGAGCCCTTCTCGGCGTGCTCCTGGCCACTGACATCAATCTCGAGGATCTTTCCGCCGCCCTGCAGATCCCACAGGCAAATGCGACGGTCCAGGCCGCCGGAAGCAACCCAGGTCGACTGCTGGCCCGGTGACGCAACACACTTGACGTAATCGGCATGCTTGCCCAGGATGGCGGGCTCGTCGTCGTTGTCGCCTTCTCGGGGACGCCAAATCTTGACGAGAAGGTCGCTGGAGGCGGTGACGAGAGCGGAGTTGTTACTGGCGAGTGTGATATCGTTGATCCAGTGAGTATGGGCCTGTGTCTGGGCGCGCGAGACGGCCGTCTGGATGTGCGGGCGAGCGGCGGGCTCCGGCTTCTTGGAGCCGTCGTTTGGTGAGGAGGACGAGTCGTCGGGTTTGGCGGGAGCCTGTGTCGGCTTGTCGAGATGCAGCTCCCAGGCACATACTACGCCGTCACGACCACCAGAGTATCTACCAGGGTAAGAAAGAAGAAAGCGAATTAGTCCGAGTTCTTGCCGGTGTTCAAAGGCCCGCTACTGCACCCGACGGCCGGGCATTTGTCCTCAAAAGTGGTCGGGATCGGCTGATCTACTAACAATATGTTGTTCTCGCTATCGACAGCGAGGCCATTAACGCCGAGGCGGTGGCCAAGAGAGCGGGCATCTTCGAGGACTGCGAGGGTTAGCAGGGTTGGACTTCCGATGGCAGCGCTGGTCATTAACCTATCAGAACGACCACATGCAAAAAAAGGACGTACCGTAGCTGATCCTCTGGCGGACTTTCTTTGACGCCATTGCGACTGAGTATGCTCAAACGGAGGAGGGTGATGTCGGCAGTATCCTTTGAGACCGAGAAGAGAAAGCAGAGCGACAGGAGAAGAGATTGTCGCAGTGGCCGACCCGCCGGCCCAGATGGAGGAGGGCAACAAACTGGGTCGTGGATGAGATGAAGAGGACGAAAGTCGATATTCGCGCGGATTCGGAGAATGGGCCGTTGTCGGAACGAAATGCCAGCAATGCGCTCCGAGAGTTGCTGGATAAGTAGTGAGGATGGAGAGAATGTGCAAAAAGAAAGAAAACGAGGAGAAAGACAAGAGGAAAGAAGGAGGTAGAGCCATCCAAGGAGTAAGTCAAACGGAGAGTCTACCGCTGCGCGGCCCAGAAGAGGCAGGAGACAGTGTGCGTCGTCGCAGTCGTCGAATAGTGCGGGAAGGCGCAGGGTGGGCTGGCTCGGCTGGGTATTACACTGGCGTTCTTGCTGTGGGAAGCTTGCGCGAGGTTGCGGTTCGCCCGTATGTGCGGGGGAAGGAGCGACACGGCCAGGCTGGGAAAGGCCCCAAAATGGGATCCACTAAAAACGTGGGAAACGGTTTAGTGCTCCAGGCCACAGTGCAGAAAGAAGTGACAGGCAAGGAAAGGACCCACAAAACCGTACAGACCCCTGCGTGGTGTGCCTTTGGTGGGTGTGCTCAGCATTGGGCGCTTCTGGCGGGCGGAATGAAGGCGCTGAGATCCGCCGGCGGTGGCTCCTGCTCGAATGACTGATCACTAACGAATTCAACATCCACGAGGAAAGAGCGATGAGGACGTCGAATGGACGAAAGCCAAAATCGACGTCCAAAATCGAAAACCAAATAATCTACTTTTCGTGTACGCTACAAAGCCGGGTATCTTGTCTATGTTTCCATCATTCTCACCTCATTCACCTATTCCGATATTCCTCCCGACCACAGCTCACCATAAAATGCCCTGTGTCGGCTCCCCATCAAACAGCCAACTCAACGGCTCGCCACTGCCGATGTTGAGCGACTGCGCGTCCGGCATGATAAACTCATAGTTGTCGACGGTAAAGTCCATCGACATGGGGTCCAGCGACGGCTGAATGCCGGGCATAAACGATGCTTGCGTCGGTATGTTTTGCAGCAGCTGCTGCTGCTCGGCCAGTTGGGCTGCTTCCAGGGCCTGCTGTTGCTGCTGCTCCTGCTGCTGCTGCAAAAGCTGCCGGTACATGCCGTGGCATGGGCAGTCTTCGATGCGGCACATGCGCACGAGGCTGTCCACCTCGGTGCCCGGCCCACTCACGCTGCCGCCAGTCACCGATGCCGACGCAGCTGCCTCTTGAATGCCCCGGGCCATCATGCTCTCGAGAATCGGCATGCACAAGCTCTGGGCCTCTTCGGCAACCTGGACGAGCTCATGCGCCAGCGCCATGCGTGATTCAGCCGTGGAACTCGGCGCACTCATCAAGCCGCGCTGCATGCCGTTGAGCTGCTTCTCGACGAGGCGCCATAACAGATAGCCCTTGAAATTGGTCTCGCCACCCTCGATGCCCCGCAGACACCAGTGCAAGGCAGTCTCGATGATGGATAGCAAATCCGGTCGGATAGGGGCGCGTCCTGTGGCAGTTACACCGGAAGCTCCGGTACCATCGGTGTCGTCTTCGATGAGCTGGAACTTGACCTCGGCAGCCACCAGCAAGCTAGCCTGCATAGCGAGCCGACGCAATGGACCGGCACCGAGCATGGTCTGGCGGGCGAGTGCCGGGTCGACAAATGTGCGTCCAGGTCGAGGGGCCGCTGATGACGAAGCCGCTTGCGCTTGGCAGGCCTCATCGGCGGCACATTCGGCGGCGTCAACCGTCGCTACGCTGCTGTCTACAATACCCGGGCAGCTTGCGTTCCAGATCCGTACAGCTGTGTCACTCACAACACGACGCGAGTAAGCATAGGCCGTCTGCTCCTGCATCGAGGCACCGAAGAAGGGGATGTGCAGGCACAGTAAATACCGACGCATGATGAGGTGGACTACGGCGATCGTATAATGGTCGAACGTGGTCCGTGGCGGCGAAGAAGTCGATTCAGTGCCAGATGGGTTGGCGGGATCGGGTTCTTTCGAGGCCGCGCTGTATGCCTGCAGAGTGTCAAAAAGGGCGCGGTAGGCCACGCGGAACTGGCGATCAAAGCGCAAGGTGTCGGCGTACGTTCCTGGAGGGCCCATATCGTTGAGGAACTGGCAAATGGCCAAGCGCAGAGGTAGTGTCTTGCGGAGGGCCACAGCGACAGACATGCTGGTGAACTTATGTGAAGGGCGCGGTGCATCCGGTGCGCCAGAGTCAGCAGCGGCGCGGGAGGCACCTTCATCCTGCGCTGCTTGTCTGTCATCATCACCACCGCTTGGTTGGCCTTGTGGCGTGACTTCGCGAGCCTGCCGCAGTACCATACAGATTTGCGCCGGCGGTTTGCGTGGCGTCCGGCTCTCTTCAACATGGTCATTTTTCTGCCGGCCCCTACGCGTGTTATTGCCGTCATCGCCAGGGCGATCCATCTTGGTCACCCCGGTACCGCCAGAAATCCATTTCCCGTTCGAGTGCTTCTGTTGCTCGAGCAATTCAGAAAGCGATGTCGGCTCGGGCAACCCATGCATGTTGCCCCCGTCGTCAATATAGTTTTTATTCGCACGACTATCTGAGGGCGCACGGGGATCAGCCGGCGTTGTAACGACGATATGAGCGGACTCGAGACCACCCAGCCGCTGGAGAGGCTCCTCTCCTTCTGGCAGCGACTTTGAGGTTGTGTCGTTATTGTTGGTGGTGGTGGTGGTGGTGGTGGCCGCTGCGGCGACTGCCGCCTTCGCCACAGTAGATCCGGCCAGCACGCTCTCCTCGAGGGTCTCATCGTCAATGTTGCTCGGCGACCGAGCGTCAAAGTCGGTCATGGACAGCATGACTGGCCCGCCGGCATCCAAACTCGACGCAACGACGAGTTCAAGGATCGTGTTCCACAAGCGCCGGCGCATCTCGGCAGCCAGGCGGCTCATGCGCTTGGGCAGGCGGTCCGGGTCGCGGTGCAGGCCCATGTAGACGGCAGAGCGCACAAGATCGCCCACGGAAATCCAGATGAGAGCGCCGCCAATTCCCGTGGCCTCCCGCGCAAAAAGCAACAGGATGTGGATTTGCAGGACCTGCATGGTCAGGTGGGCCTTGAACTCAGGCTCAGAAAACCAGGTCTGGGCGGCATAGTACCAGCGAACGGCACGGGTGCGGAGTGCCATGTGATCTCGGTGGGTGGCAAAGCCGATGGCAAGGACAAGCTTGAGCTGGACCAAAAACGCCATGTCGGCTTTGTTCAAGGGGTTGCCGGCAGCCAAGGCCTGCCACAGGGCCTCGTACTCACGGCGAAACATTGGCACGTGCAGAATGCGGTAGACACTCTCAGTGCTGCGCAGGTAGCATTCTACGAGCTCGTCGGCCAGAGCGCGCGGTGGCAGCCCATAGGATTCGTGGAGACCAGAGGCCGGCGGCGGCCAGGCGGGGCCGATTCGCAGTGCCTTGATGATGCGCCCCATGTGCTTGAGGCGCTGCATGTCGACAAAAACCTTGGGGGTCGTGGTGCCCGTGACGAGCGGGTCAATCATCTCAAAGATGTCGCGGAAGCCAACAATGCTATTGACCCAGTGGCTCTGGCCAAACAAGCGTGTCTTGTGCATGACGCTGCGGCTGGTCATGTGCATGCGGCGCTCGCGTGGACCAAAACTTCGGCTGCGCGTAGAGACGAAAAAGTCGCCGGTAATGGAGCTGGGCTTGGTGGGCCAGTTGACGGCAGAGGGCACGGGTGGGTGGTCAGGACCGGTAGTGGTGAGGAGATTATGGTTGTCGTTGGCGAGGTCGTTGTTGTTGTTTTCAAATTCATTGTTGGAATAACAGAGATGGTGTTTGCCACGGTCGCTGAGAGGGTTATGCCCCGGCGTCAACGTTGACGATTCGCCATGGGAGTACGAGTGGGAATGCGGGGAGTGGTGCCTCCTCCGCCCGCGCCTGTGATAGTGCGGCGACGGCGACCGTGACCCGCGCAAGGAAGAGCCAAGCGACCGCGACCGAGAGCGCGAGTAAGGACGGCGATACAACCTGCCACTACCATGGTGGGGCGACCGAGACCGTGCCGGCAGCCTTGTCGACCTTGGTGTTTGTGAGCGCGAATAGGGCGACTGCGAGCGACGGAGCGCATACCGATACGATCGTGCTCCATGTCTCTGGCGCGACGTTGACCGCGACCGCGACCGCGAGGGGGGGTGCGACCGAGATCGAGATTGGGTTCGGGTTCGGGTTCGCGAACGCGAACGCGACCAGCGTGACGAACGGTGCCGGCCACGCGACTGATGCGAGCGGTACGACCGGTGGTGGTGGCGACGCCGACGAGAGTTGTACGACCAAGTCGACGTTGGTGGCGGTTCTTCGATGGTCAGGTATGCCAAGGGCCCGTTGTCAGCCGCCTCGGACATAACCATGTGCGGGAGATTGGGTACCGACTCATCCGCATGGTGGTCGCGACTGCGGACGCCGCCTTGAGAACGGCGGCTGTCTCGAGTGGCTTGACGACTCGGTCGCTCTAGCTGCCGGCGCCCGTCGTGGAGCTGGGCCTCCAGGTGGCGGATGCGCTGCTGCATGGCCTGCACGGATTGCACATCCTCCGGTGAGTAGTGTGCAGGGTGAGAACGGTGCGACCGGCGTGCCATACGAGACTGGTCTGCTTCGTGAGCGGCACGGTTGTACGCGTTCAACTCTGGCGGGACCATGACGTTGTCGGACTCGAATGGCGACGAACCAACGGTCGTGGACACCGTCGTCGGAGCCATTGTGTTTCCAGAGGCATTGGCGGCCGAGTTTGTTGCAGCAGCTGATGATGAGCCGTCGCCACGGCCAGTGTCGCCAGCCGGAGAAATATCGGCCACACTCAGTCCGTTAAGGCCAAACACAGCCGAGTTGACTGTTGTCCCGGGCGGAGGTCGTGGCGGCAGGCCGCCAGCAGCGCTGGCCGAGGCCGATGGTGGCGTCTGTTGTTGATGCAAGGCATTGCGAAAGACAATCCCGTCTGTGTGTATTGGTGGGCGTGGCCGAGCAGCAGGCTTGGACAACGAATCCGTACTGTCAGTGACATTGGCGATTATGGATGCTGCCGTTATCGACGAAGCCGTCGACCGTGCTGTCAAGAGGGCCGTTGGAGTTGCTGCTCCAGGCAGTGGCGGCAGCTCTTCATAGACACACGCGACATTCTTGCGCGACCGCAGGCAGTTGCTGCAAGGCTGTTCGCGGTTGCAACGGATCTTACGCCGGCGGCACAGTGTGCAGGAGCTGTATTTGTCAGTACGGTCTCACAGGCCACAGGCCACAGACACAGACTCACAACCGTACACAGCTGGCCTTCTTCGGCGACGGACTTCGGGCTCGGTCATCGTGTTATTGGGTCCCATCTACAGGGCTGGGAGCGTGGAGGTGCAACGGGCGTACGGCGGTTGATCAACGCCTGAAACAATTCTCCGTGGGCCGCAGTGGCAGCACAACAGTTGCAGCCGAGAATTGACAGGAGCAGGAAAAATAAAAGAAGAAAGAAATAAAGAAATCGGCTTCGAGCGCCTCATCCGCGTTTTCTCGTTGCAAGAGCGGGTAATTTCTTTTTAAGAGGCCCTAAACAAGGAGATAAAGAGGAAAGTCGGGCCAGAGACAGGGAATTTGCCGACTTTAAGAGTGGTGTAGATACGCCGGGGATGAGAAACGCGGGGATAAGGTGGGTCAGCAACTGCCCGAATTTCCCGAGGCCGGCGTTTCGTTGTCTCTGGTTGGCTGCTCTGACTTACACCAGATTTGGGCGACGAAAATGGGACCCGATGGCCGACTTTGCTGCATCACCTTCTCAACGTCGCCATCGCCGTGCGCAAGGACGAAAAGGCGGCAATGTGCGACCACATCATGCAAGATTTGGGGGGCAGGGTTCGTCCAATAGCGTCGCAGTCGGTTTTATCCCGGTAGGAAGTTCGAAGTATGTTACATAGAAACGAAGACGTTCCAAGAAACGGGTAACAATGACACGCCCCGTCCCATCTCCGACATTCTTTTCAATCAGAGCATTTGTGTTTCTTTTCTACTGGACGTGGTTTATCTATAACAAGGAGTGTCACGCCCTTTTGGGAACCCCCTTGTCTGTGTGTTGCATCTATTGGCGTTCCTTATTTTGTTGGCACATATTTGTTTCTCGATTTCTCAGGTTGAAAGACGCTTGCTTCCACCTCGACAGCTCACCATGGCCGACGAAAAGAAGACTCCATCGCTCGGCGACAGCCATCCCTCGTCCGACGAGGCCACTCTCGACGCCGACTCATCATTTCCAAAAGAATACAACGGCCAAGAGAAGGACGCCGAGAAAGCCGCCGAGTCGGCCAACACAGCCGAGCCGGAGAAGGACGCCGTACACGACGCCGAAACGGATGCCCCGTCGCCCTTGTCGGAGCTTGGCCCAGCGCCCGACGGCGGAGTGCGCGCCTGGACCGTCGCAATTGGTGCCGGCTTCATCACCTTTGCTGCCCTCGGCTTTGCCAACTCCTTTGGCGTCTTCCAGGAGTACTACATCACCCACCAGCTCTCGGACAAGAGCGCCGACACCATCGCCTGGATTGGCAGCTGCACCGTCTTCTTCCAGTTCCTCGCCGGGTCCATTTCGGGCCCGCTGTTCGACCGCTACGGCGCCTGGCTGATCCGCCCGGCCACCATCGTATGCGTCTTTGCCGCCATGATGATTAGTCTGTGCACCGAGTACTACCAGTTCCTGCTCGCCCAAGGCTTCCTCCTGGGCATGTCGAGCGGCGCAATGCAGTTCCCGGCCTTGGCCGCGGTCATCCAGTTCTTTGACAAGAAGCGCGCCGCCGCGCTGGGCGTGGCCGTCGCCGGCTCGTCGGTGGGCGGCGTCGTCTTTCCCATTGCCTTGAGCCGCATGCTCAACGACCCCGTCGTGTCGCAGCACCTCAGCTTCGGCTGGTCCGTGCGCATCATCGGCTTCGTCATGCTCTTCTCACTCGGCATCTCGTGTGTCACGGTGCGCCCGCGCCTGCCGCCGCGCACCACGCAGTTCTTTGTGTTTTCCGCCTTCAAGCAGCCCACCTATGTGTGCATTGTCGTGTCCATGTTCTTCCTGTTCTTGGGCCTGTTTACGCCGCTCTTCTTTTTGCCCAGCTACGCCGTCTCCCAGGGCATGGACACCACCCTCGCGTCGTACCTGCTGGCCATTGTCAACGCCGCCTCCACGTTCGGCCGCATCATTCCCGGCATTCTGGCCGACAAGCTCGGCCGCGTCAACGCGCTGGCCGCCGGCGGCATCGGCACGGGCATCGTCATCTTGACCCTGGAGCACGCCCACAGCACGGCTGGCCTCGTCGTCTGGGCCCTTGCCTTTGGCTTTTCCTCGGGCACCATTGTGTCTGGCGCGTCCGCCGCCATCTCCATCTGCTCCGACGATCCGCGCAACATGGGCACGTACCTGGGCATGGGCCTGGGCGCGGCCTCCATTGCCGTACTGATTGGCCCGCCCATCAACGGCCAGCTGCTGCACCACTACGCGACGTACACCCCCGTGACCATATTCAGTGGCGTCACCTGTCTGGTTGGTGGGTCTATTGCCTTTGCCGGCAAGATGGGCACCAAGCAAGGCCTCTTTGGTCTTGTGTAAGCTTGCGGGTGGTATGCCAATGGTTATTAGCACTCTCGTCTACTGAGGCGAGCTGGCCGGAGTGGTTCCGCTTGTGCGAAATTCAAACCAAAGCATTATTTGTTACATTCTCTCCTCCACTCTCCATATCCTTTTGTTTCCATTACACTTTACTTTCCCTTTTCTTTTCTACGGTTACGTATCTTCAAGATATATTATATATAATTCATAAGACACTCCGTTTGGCAACCCGGTTTTTATTGTCCATAGTTTCAATCCGCTGCAGTGTCAATACCAAATACGAACGAATTAGACTGAATTTGAATGTAAAATTATTTTCTCAGACAAACGAAACGCTTTTACTAAATGAAAACCAAAATCTTATCCTAGTATGTGCACAATTTATGCATATCCAACCACCCGTGTCATTGCTACAACAAACTCGAGTCATTCCAACCCCTTTCTTATTGACGGCCACACATCGCCTACTCCGGGAACGACAGCCGGATACGGCCGCTAACGGTGTCCGCATTCAGCGTCGACCTGTGGCCTTCGGCATTTCCGCGATCCTCCTCGCGCGTGCCCTCCTTGATCGCGTCGACCTTGCGGCCAACCTTGGGCGGCCACTTCGGCTTGTTGTCCGGCACGACGTGCACACCCTTGCCCTCGACGACCAGCGCACCGCCGGCAACCGTCTTGAGGTGGATGTCGCCGACCCACGAAGCCGGGTAATGCAGCTCCACGGCGCCAGACACGGTGTGGTGTGTGGACTCGAGGAAGTCGATGGCGGTGTTGCTGGAGGTCTCGTTGAGCAGGTAGACGACGGTCTTGCCACTGATCGTGTCGGTGTCGAGCAGGGCTGGGGTGTATTCGTCACCGTCATCATCGCCCCGGACGTTCTCGGCCAGGCGCTGCGGCGCCAGGGCAAAGGCAATGCTGCCCGAGACGGTGTGCAAGCGGGCCGAGTGTGCAAACGAGGCGATGCCGTGTGTCGTACCGGAGCGCGTCGAGACAGTGAGGCGGTGGGGACGGGGAATGACACCCTCCTTGACGCCTTCCTCGGTCACTTCCTGGAGCCCGATGCTGCCAGACACAGACTCGACGCTGAGATGGGCCAGCTCCTTGTGCTCGTCGACGGTGCCCTCTTGACGCACGGCCACGTTGATGGAGCCCGACACCGTTTGGAGGTGCAGGCTATCCAGCAGCGACCAGGGTCCGCGGATGGGGCCCGACGTCGAGGCCGCGGTCGTCTTGGGCGCCTCGAAGCGGTAGCCCGCCGCAAACGCAATCGACTCCGTCATGACCTCGTGGCAGTTCTTGGCCTCAGCCACTCCCACCGAGCTCGTCTCTGCATCGTCACCAGGCAGTGCACGCGACGCCACGATGCTGCCAACGACCGACGACAGCCGCGCCGACTCGTCCACAATCAGGTCCAGGTTGTCAATGAGCTGCACGCCCAGGTGCACGGCGCCAATGTACAGCGCCTGGAGGTGCACCTCCTTGTCCTTGTCCTTGTCTTTGGCTGCGGAGGCAGAGGCAGAGGCGTCGGGCACCCACACCGTCACACGCACCACCAGGCACGCGGCGAGTCGGCCACCGCGCCACTCGCCCTTTTCCACCCAGATGCGGTCGTCCACAATCACATTGAGGTGCTGTCCGGACTCGCCAAACACATACGTCGTGCGGATCCGGTCGTCGTTGGACAGCGCCTCGACCTCGACGGACGGCTCCTTGCCATCGACCACCTGCCGCACAACTACCTCGCCGGACACGTGCACATGCCGCCACCGGTGGTCGTCATCGTCGTCCCGCGGTGGATCGTACGGCGGTGCCAAGTGCCGCGTGGTGTTTTGGCGGATGGTCAGGCTGTGCTCGCCGTCAAAGGTGAGCGGGTACGACGACACCGGGTACGTGTGCGGCGTACCGTGCGAAGAGCAGAACGAGTCGTCGGGTAGCTCGAGGGGTCCATCCAGGGGTGTTGAGCCGAGCCCAACGAAGTCGCCGCTGCCGTTGTACGAATGGTAACGGAAGACTTTCGAGAAGAGGGCCGGAAGGCCGAACCCGTGGGTGTAAAAGGCAATGGTCACGATCAAGAGAGTGCAGAAGAAATGGTGGGCCCGGCGGATTTTGCGGCGGCGGCGGAGACGCCGGGCCTCGGCGGCAGCCCGGTAGATCTCCTGGGAAGAGTCGTGGATACCCGATGTATCAAAGTCGCCCATGTGCGGCTGCGACTCGCCCTTTTGGTACACGACCAGGAGCGGCTCGTTCTCGGCACCCATGCTGGGAAGACGTGATGTCGTCGCTAGTGCCGATGGAGAAGCGTCGGTCGAGAAGGTGGACAACAGTCGACGGTCGAAAAGCGATGATATGTCGGTGATGGATTGGCGATGTTTAAAAGTAACAAAATGAAAGTCGAAGAAAAGCCAATCATTCAGTGCTTCATGGAAATGGTCCAACTGTGCCATCAATATGTATTATCCATGCGGTTCACTGTGAAAACACGGCCAGCCAACGACAACGCCCGAAATGCGTCTGCCTGGGCCACCCACACCCTATCCTGCCAGTGTTTGCGCGTCAGCAGCGATTGCGTCGATGGCGAGATCCGGCACCATCGCATTTTTCAGTGCGCGGTGACGACGTCTTACTTCTGACATCAATTACCCCGCCTGTGCGGTTGGTCGCTCTTGCCCCCTTTCTTATTTTTTGTTCCAGCTCCTGATTGACGTCTTTGTCCCTTCCTTCCTATTACAGACTCATACTCTGCCTCCTGCCGCTGCGACTGAGCTTTGCATATTGCCAAAAACAGAAGGTAAGACTAACCAGGCCGGACCAGGGCACTGGTTGACCCGAGCTTACGGGGGTCCACACTGATGGCCAGCGACCAGCATGCCATTGACACAGTGGACATCCGCTTGTGTTCGTTTTGTCCACAACACACCCATCGTGCCACACAATCGAGCCAAGAGTTTGCAAAATTGTGCATCATCTCATGCAAGCATAGCGAGACGGCGAATGATGCCGAAATGCAGGAGATATCAGAGCTGCCAACAGTGTCTCAAGGAGGTTAACGTGTCTGGCCTCTCTTTCGAAAGCTTAAGACCGGTGAATTGCTGCAAGACGGAGATTGCGACAGACGCAACGCTGGGTAAGGGTAAGGGGGGCGCTGCTCGTGATGCTGTTTCGACTGCTGTCTTGGGTGGAAAAAGTGCCTTGTCCAAAGTGTCTGTGCCGTGACAATCGACACTACTTGGGATGCAGTTATCAGGTTTGCAAGGTCCCTGGTGGCAACTGACTGCCACAGGCGTACGGAGTAAATTATTCTTCATTGACAATGCTTCAAAAAAAAAACCCATATATTAAGGCTGCCTACAAAAGCGTGCGTACTACAAGCTATGAGTTGAGTTGCTTCTGGTGTCACTGACAGCGGGGCCTCCACCCTCTCTATCTGCTGGACTGGGTAAAGAGCAGGAGGATGCGTTGCAGAGAGACAAAGATATTCAAACTTTTGCACGTCACCACCCTCCGGCGTCTAAATAAACGACCCTAGATTGCAGTCCTCACATGGAATTTGTCAGTGACAAACTGCTTGATTCACCTGGAAGGCAGCGACCTGCCGGTGCAGCGATATGACGCAACATGGCGTGGGGCCGCGGATGACTTTTTATGACCAACCCTATCGACAGAGGCCCAAGGAGACATTTAAAGTATATCGTACTCTGTCGTTTATTTTTTGTCCTGTTTAAAATATCATTCATAACAGCCAGAAACATGGCCTGAACTCTAATTCCATCTACAGCCGGCCGTATATATGTGAGAGGGTCGTAAACTATACATGGAGGCGAGACGTCTGACGGCGCAACACAAAGGAAGAGGGAAAAGGGGTCCAAAATCACAGACGCGACGGATGAAGAACGAAATGAAGACCAAGCAGAAAAATCAAGAACGGTAAGCGAGCAGAAAAAGTATCAAAGAACGCCATACCATGCCCACTCGTTCATTTCCAATTACCATCCGTGTGTGTCGTCGCCAACATCCACCAATATCCATGGCCAACCACGCCTTCTCCATCCTCGACAACCGACAGCTGACAGCCTACGGCAGACCCAGTGCCTTTTTCGAGTTTTCGTACACCACCCACGTAATGCTCAGCGCCGGTGCCACCTTGAGCAGGTTCGGCGTGAGGCCCTTGTACAGGCCGCGCACGCCCTCATTGGCCAGCGTCCGCGCCGCCACGTCCCAGATGCCCGTGTACGTCGGCGGGTGCATCACCGTGCCCTGTGTCTGCAGCCGCGTCCGCAGCACGTTGAGCGGGTACACCACCGTCGCACCAAACGCGCCCGAGGTCGCACCAATGATGCCTGTGACCACATTGCCGGGCGCCGCGTCCTCTTCGTGGATCCCGTAGTACCGCGCCTTGTACCGCGTAAACGTGCTCTTGAGCAGCTCAAAGGTGCCCATGTCGATGGCGCTGTAGGGAAACATGCCAACCAGGCCCATGGTCACGCCACGGTACGCTGCGCGCACGCCACCCGTCTCGTACATGCGGCGCGCGGTCTGCATCAGCAGTGCGTTTCCGGTAGGGCCGCCTTGCACGGTCTCACACTGCAGTCGAAACTTGAGCGTGTCGAGCGGGTACACACAGAACTGGGCAATCATACCCGCCACACCACCCGCCACAAACTTGGACGCCGAGTTAATATGCAAGGGGTCGCCGTGGCCCTCAATGGCAGCCAGTGTACGCTTGGCGGCTTCATAGGAGCCGAACTGGTCCGTTAATATGCGAGTGTCAAGAAGAAAAAGTAAAACGGGAAAAAAAAGGGGGGGCTGAAAAACATGTGAGAGAATAGAGGCATACTTTAATTGCCGTCTCCGGCATAATTTTGACGACATTGAGACCGTTGCCTAAGTTTCCTTGTTAGCAACGGGCAGCGGAAAATCGTAGGCATGGGTGGTTTCTGTCAACAAGACGCACCTGCGAAAAAGGTCCGCACACCGCCAGCCCGGTACAGGTTCACAATGGCGTCGCGGATCGGCCGGCCAGTCTTGCGGAGATTGGCCGTTGCTGGTTCGCCGGTCGCCGCACCGCTCGCGACCGCCGATGCCGCGGCCTTGGTGCCGCTGCTACCGCCGCGTGTGTTCACGAGCAAGTACACTTTGAGGCGGTCAAGGGGCGCCGTCGCCGTGCGTGAAATACCGCCAGCGAGCGCGCCCGCCAAGAAGTAGCCTGGATGGGGCAGGTATTGCGTCAGTTGCTTGTACTTGAACTTTTTCTTCGTCCGCGTGGTGCCCGCCACTCTTTGGGCCCTCTGAAGCTTGGTGCCGGATCCGGTTGCCTTGCCGCTGTCGAGCACTTCGTCTAGTTCGTCGACGTCGCCCAGGTCCTCAAAGTCTTCGTACTCGTGGCCGCGGCCCCCCGCCGCCACTGTCTCTCGCTCGTCAATCATTGCGTTCGCAGCCGCCGTTTTCGAGTCCGTCAAAGATTTTGACGCCTCGGCACGGGTCCCAGACGGCGGCGATACACTTGCAGCTGCGGACGACATGGGCGCGCTGGCTCCTGTCTCCGACTCGTGCGGCAGCGCTTTGGACGACACTACTAGTACCGTCCCCTCTTTGGAATCTGGCGGCAATGGCGGCGGCGGAGGAGATGGCGGTGTGGGAGAGGAGGAGGACGGGGCGGGCGCTATTGAGTCGGAATCGGCAGCGGTTTCTGGCGGCCGTATGCGTCTTCGTTTTCGTATTTGCTGCACTGGTTGTGGGGGTTGTTGGTGCATCTCCAGTTCTTGGTCCGGGGAGGCGATCTGGACGTCGGGTGTCTGTTGCAGCTCCTCCTCTTTCTCACCAACACGAGAGGAGACTGCCACGCTCGGCTTCGCAAGCTTCATAATGGAACCAAACAGGGCTTGGAGGAGATAGCCAGTCGTACCTAAGCCCTCAAGCGTCTCGTCGCTGACCATAGAGTCGCCTTCGGCGTTGAGGATCACAGTGGACGCATAGTACGACCAAGCAGTCTCCAGCGGGGAGTCGCTGCCCTTGGTGGGGATAAAGAGGAGAAAGTCGCGCCACTCGTCAAACGTAATGTAGCCGTCGTGGTTCATGTCGATCTCGTCGAAAAAGCCGTCAAGCCGGCGCATCGGCACGGCCAGGCCCGTCTTTTGGAACGCCGCACGCAGTTCCGCCCTGTTGAGCCGGCCGTCGTGGTTGCGATCGATGGAGCGGAAGAGCAACAGAAGCTGGCGCTCGGCGGCCTCAACAAAGACACGGAATTCTAAGTTCAGAAGCAAAAGACATGAGTTAGCACAGGCAACGTTCCATACCTCCCGTGTCTATACTTCGTCTCTCTGTTTTTTCTTGTTCTTTCGGACGCGCCGGTCTCTTGCTGCCTCCCACCTTCATATTGGATCTTTCCGTCTCCGTTGACGTCAACAATGTCGATGATCTCCCGCAACATATCGTCGGCATTTTTCATAGCTGCCACAGTCAGCAAATTGCACTATACGTGGCACTGCACACCGCACTGTACATTGCGCTCCAACCCCTCCTCCCAGAAATCCGGGGTACGCACGATGGTCGATCCGCCGCAAGCCCTTCTTAAGGCCCTTGAGGTCCAGCTCGCGGTCGTCCTGGGGATCAAGACGCTGCCAGAGCTCCTTGACGCGCTTGTCCCGCTGGACCTGTGACTCGCCCTCCATTTTGCGCAGCGCAGCAGTGTCCGGGTCCGAGGCTGCTGGCGTAGCATTGAAAGGATACGGTGAGGAAGACTCGGAAGGACTGGACGGCATCGGAGCTCCTTCTGAAGCTCCGGGAGCCGTGTTGTCGCCGGCCGTCATGACAAGCAAACCATGACAGGCTGGGGGCTAGATTGTCGGGTCCCGGTTCGTTCGGTCGGGATAGTAGTCGTTCCAGGGGGTGCCGTTGTCTTACAGCTTCAGCATTGTGGAAGCAGGAAGCAGGAAGAGTCGACAGAGCAATGGAGAGAGTGAAGACGACGATGCGGTCAGTCGTCGATTGAGGAATTGGAGATACCCAAAGCTGTGAAAGTGAATTGAAATAATTGTGTGCGCGAGATAGATATCGATACAAACCCAGAAGTCGTCGGAGCTAGAGGTAGCTATCTCGTGCTCGGGGTGGGTGGTCTGCGTCAGACGGCTTTCTGTATATGTTGTCTTATCGTCGTTCAAAGTTCAATGTCATCTGTTTAAGTTCATGGAGGGGGGAGACGGGACGGAGGGAAAAGTTGGACGAAAAACAGCTAGAGGCGGGAGAAATGGCGCTAACCGGTCCAGTAGCAAAATGACGACGAGTGCCAAATGGGAAAGCTGCCAAAGCGACAGCTGGCAGCGGGCGGAGTTAAATTTAGTCGGTAAATTTTAAGGCCAAAATTCCGTCTCCACCGAGCGACAACACTACGAAGTTACAGGCGCCCAATATACAAACGTATGTCTGGTGCAAGATAACGACACTCAAGTATGGTATCTTTTGAAAGTGAAGTGAAACCTACAAAATATATCGCAATAGCTGGTCTTGGTTGCCCAGTCGGCACTGCCAGTAGTGGTGACCTCTGCCACCAACTGCTACTGCACGTGGTTAGCGCAGCTTATGTAAGTTCTTTCTTAAATTTAGTGGACGCCGCAAACCGTAACTCACTGAAGCTCCCGGGTCGGCATAGCCAGCCTCGCCACAGCCGTCTCAGCATCTCTTCAACGCACCAGACCGTGCAGATCCCAATTGCTCCCAGCCTCGAACAAGCCCTGCTGTCGTGTCCCCGCCGGCCTTGCTTTCGACCGCATATCCTCAGCATGGCGGCCAGCTACTGGGACTCAACGCAAAGGCGGTTCTGGGAGTTCTCCAAGGAGCAGCTGGCGGCACTTCGCCAACGCAAGCAAGACGAAGAGCGCAGCCTCGTCCAGATGTACCCGTTGCCGGAATGGCGTCACCTCAGCCTGTTCTTCTCGCAGCGTGAGTGGCTTCCGCACTTCATACTGACAGCTCCGCTGTGCTGCCATGCTAACGTGTCAGAGCTCAACCGCCTTGCTAAGCGCCTGCAGGCGCGCCAACAGGCCCTTGCGACCGCCCAGGTCTACCTCAAACGATTCTACTGCAAGGTCGAAATTCGCCGCACCAACCCCTACCTCGCCATGGCCACCGCGCTCTACCTCGCGTGCAAAACCGAAGAGTGCCCGCAGCACATCCGCCAGGTCGTCCAGGAGGCCAAAGTCCTGTGGCCCGATACCCACTGCCTCGAGATTGCCCGCCTCGGCGAGTGCGAGTTCTTCATGATCTCCGAGCTCTCCTCCCACCTTATCATCCACGCGCCGTACCGCACGCTCCAGACCCTGCAGGCTGAGCTGGGCCTGACGCCCGACGAGCTCACCCAGGCGTGGTCCATTGTCAATGACCACTACATGACCGACCTGCCGCTGCTCTACCCTCCGCATGTCATCGCCGTGACAGCCATTGTCTGGGTGCTGGTCCTACAGCCGGCAACGTCCGGTGGATCGAACAATGGCGGCGGCATCGGCCTCATGGGCCAGACTATGGGCACGGCGAATGGAAGCGGTCCTGGCGGCAACCATACGGGTGTCGGTGGTAACAACGGCGCTGCACTTGGCGGCATGGGCGGCGGTGGGTCTTCGTCGATTCAACCGCCGCCACTACTGCTCTCCCTCTCCTCTCTGGGTCCGGGCACGAGCACCCCCGGTGGCGGGACACCAGGCACGCCTGGCATGAGTGGCATGGGCACGCCGACGACTGCCGGTGGCTTTCCAGCCATGTCGTCGGCTCGGTCCGTGGCCTTTGCTCACGCCCAGGCACAAGTCGCTGCTGCAGCCGCTCTTCTCGGTGGCGGCGGCCCCATGCAGCACATGCCACAAGGCATGAACCCCGGACCGGCGCAGAGCGGCTATGCTGGCGGGAACAACAACAATAACAACAATAACAACAGCAACAGTGTTGCCAATGCTGGCAGCGGCAACAGCAACTCAACGTCGGAAGAAACACCACCGGCCGACGGCGGGCGCACGGCAACGATGCACTGGCTAATTCGCTGGTTGGCCGAGAGCGGGCTCGACATGGAAGCCACCATCGACTGCACCCAAGAGATGATCTCGTTCTACATGGCCAGCGAAGAGTACAACGAGAAGTTGACGCGCGAACAGATTAACCGCTTTGTCAAAGCGCGTGGACTGGATAGGTGACAGCAGTGATACGCATAAATCATTCCTCTCAAACATCCCTATCTACATCGCTACGAAAGCAAATACACTGCAGGTTTGACAATCTGAAAGTACCAGGCAGCACGTAAAGACTCACCCGCACATCCCTTTGCGACCACGCCTCTACGACACAGCGACAGGAACGGACGCGGGCAGTTCGGACGAGATCGCCCCGGTCGTGTTGCCTGCGGTCGGGTCATACACAAACCCAGGCATCGCCGTCGATGTCGCATTCAGTCCCCACGCGGTAGGGCTGTCATCGTGCACCGTCGTGCGCCGCAGGTCGCGCTTGTGCGTGCCATACGACCCCTCGCCCGCCCGGTGCTGCACTGCGCGGTTGTCCCACATGACAATGTCGCCAGGCTTCTGCCACGTCACCGACGTGACAAACGGCGCGCTGCTTACATGCGCATTGAGCTGTTGGATGAGGCGGGTCGACTCGTCTGCATCCACAAGACCCTTCGCCTCGGTCTCGAGACTATGCAAGTGTGCACCTACATACAGATTCAGCCGCCCGCTCGGCTCGTGCCGCTGCAGGATGTGGTGGCGCATGTGCGGCTGCGACCCTGGGTCGAGGTCGTGGTAGAACTCCGGGTCGGCGAGCTTGCGCGAGTGTGCGATGCAGTGCCGGCCCACATAGTTGTTGGCCAGGAGCTGCTGCTGGAGGTCGGCAGGCAGCGTGTCGTACGCGGTGCGCGAGTCGGCAAAGTCAGTTGTGTTCCCACCAGCACCGGCCGGCGGCAGTTGAACGGCCCGCAGCAGGCAGTACGACGCACGACGCGGGTTGAAGGACGAGTCGACGTGGAAAATGCAGTTGCCCTTGGCCTGATGGGCACGGGGCGAATCCGGGTCGAGGACGTTGCCGTCGGCATCAAGGTTGCCAGCATCAAACAGTTCGAGGTGTCGGTACCGCATCTTGCGGCCGGGAGATAAAAACCGCGCAATGTTGTCAAGATCACCGAGACGCTTTGAGAAAGCAACATGGCTGTCATCGTCAAGGCCTGTATCGCGGAACACGAGGAAGCCGTACTACAGACTGGTTAGGCAAAGAAACCCCTTTTTTGTTTATTGGTTTTAGCTTTGCTTCGCAAGGAGGAACCAAGTACCTTGGCGATGCCGGCTTTGATCTCGTCGAGGCCCACATCCGATAGTGTTGCGAGGTCGGCGCCGTGCACCTCGGCACCAAAGGTTGCGTGGACCGGCGTAAACGTGAGCATTTCGAAACGAGTGAATGGCACTTGTTGAAAGGGAGGCCGGCAGGCGAATTAAAATGGAAACCGAAATATAAATAGAAAACGCAAAAACAAAATTCTCCTTAGGATCACTCGAACCAGCAACCCATCTCAAAGTGAATAAAGTCAAATCAAATCTATCATGTCGTCTCTAGTGCTACCTTGTGCCCTTTTTATTTTCTCTTCTCACGCCGCGTTTATAAGGCCGAACTGGGTAACTGGCCGTCAAGAAGTCTACTTGCGGTATATGCTGGCCAAGAGGAGATGGCATAAAACGTAAGTGCCGAAGACCAGGAAGCGTTCTAAGATGCGGGGGAACCAGCCCGGGGAGACCATAAACGCAGTCAAGGATTACCAACCTTACATGCAGTCGACTCTGGTCTGCTCAAAATGTTTACAAGTGTCATCGGAATCATCTGCCCCAACCCAGGATAGCGTCAATGCAGGAGACCAACAACACGTAGTGAAAGCTTGTTTCGACGTCGTGATTGCGGAAGTCTTCTTCCTCGACGTATTACCTCGCCTTGTGACTGTATCGTTGCCCACAGAGGGCCATACAGGCTGTTTTATTGAAATACCCTTCTGATAGTAGTCGAGATAGGACATGCGCACGCTCTGAAGCGCCACTCAGCCCCATGTCGGTTAACAAGATCATATTGAAAGTCGAACAACAACCTCGCCAACGCAAGGTCCACCGTCTCATGCTTAATTATGTTTGCGCAACCTCCCTTCGCTTAAGATAGATAGATGTTGATATAAATTCAAGCAAGGTCGTATTCCATCAAAATAATTCACAGCTGTGAGTCGGACAAGAATACAGTTCCTTCTCCTAGCCTCCATGGAACGAAGGATCCGAACATGCTCTCTAAGAGAACGTCACTCACTACATGCCTCCCTTCGTGACAAAGTGAGTGGTCTACCATTGCAAAGTACAAGTAGTGCTACGCCGCCTTTGGAAGCGTGCTGGCATTGGCAATCCACGACGAGGACCGCAAATATGGCGTTCCATGGCAGCAAAACAGTCGTCGACAAGAGTCGAATACATGACAGCATCACGAGTTAAAACATGTCAGGAATACTAGACGTATCAATGAGAGTAAACCCAACAATTAAAATTCACGGACGATAAGGCACTCAAAGGTAAGAAGGTAAACACGTAAATAGCTAAAAAAAAAGGCTAGCCGATATCCGAGTCGCTGCCAAATAGTACAACGAAGTAGAATATGCAGAACGACGCAAAAATGCTCCATTTGCTCCTCATGTTTCCCCTTTCCAGTGGTAGTAGTCTCATATCTCGAATCGCAACACGGGAATCTTCCAAGACAAAACAAGTAGACGTAGACAGGCGACAAAACGCAAGATACCAACTCCGCAAGAAACCTCTCCCATATGTCCACGTTCCCGAAAGCTACGAAAAGCCAACAAGAAAATGGAACATTTGCGAGATCCGGTTTCACAAAACCCATTCCCGAAAAGGTGAAAAACGACAATGAACAGAAAAAAAATAACAGAAAGATGACGAAAAGATATGAGACAAAAACCAAAAGGAAGAAAAATAAAAGCACAATAAACCCAAACGCAACGCAAAGGCCGCTTTCGTTGCCTGCAAGCCTATCCCCTATGTGGCTCGAAAATGACAAAATGACAATGACAACCCCTTTGAATTTTACAAATCAAAGCATCAAACACCGAGTGAAAAAAGCAACAACTCAACTCCCAACCAACCGCTGGAGTCCTTGGACAACGTGCGGGAACTAAAAATGAGAGATGAAATGATGAAAACCATGAGACGAAAGAAAGAAAAAGCCGCTGACAAAAAGAGACTTGATCTAAAAAAACAGATATTTTTTGTCTTTCAACTCGTGGACCCATAATGAACCGTTTTTTATCGTAGTAGTAGAGAGAAAAAAGTCGCTCGCTCCTGTATGACGCAAAAAAAGAGCGAAGAAGATCTGATGCAGTTCCGTAAAACTCCGTGGTCGTAAATAAAAACCGAATATGCAGAGGATTAAGATTTGCCGGTTAGCGCTTGAAAAAGAAGTCGCCAGTGCTGAAAAGAACAAAGCAAAAAAACGCCAATTCGTCGACTCAAGACAGCCATAATCTTTCGAAACTAGGAAACACCGCTGTTCCCAATCGTGGTATGTTTTTCTTTTCGATTTTGTCGATCGATGAAAGAAGCAAAACAAGAAATTAATCGGGGAAATTTTGAGAGGGGGAATAGAACAAAGAAACAAAAGCGAGGTCGAGAATCATCCGTGCCGCGCCGGACATTGGAGTAGGACGAATAGGGGGAACTGTCGGTGACAATCGGTAGACGTCGTCGAGCAAGAAGCGGAGTTGTTTGTACAGAGGGTATAGATAAACGAAGAAGTATAAACTGGTCGAATCGGAGTTCCGGTCCCCGCTAGGAAAACGTCGTACAGGTGAGGGAGGAGGATACCGGTATCCACTCTATTCGTTGTTGTCGTGCCCGCCCACGCAGTGAAAGAGAGTTCCGCGATGAAAATCAATGGCCCGCCGCGTTTAGTTGTTCTTTATTGGTTGAGTTTGTCGGTGTCCGCGTCAAGATAGTTTGGCTGTCGATAGAAACGAAGCAAATTGGAGCTGCTGGGTGTCTCTGTTCTACTTCGAAAAACCCCGTGCACACAGGTTCAAGTACTGAAAGGAGAGACAACCAAAACTGCACCAGGAGATCATTGCTCCCTTTTTTGCACATGACAGAAGGGAAGGAGACAAGATCATCAAAAATACAGTATTGGCTACCTTACCAGACAGTGCCAATCGTCTGCTGCGGGAGACGCATGCTAGGGGACACCGACGGCTGAACGGGCGTAGCCATGCTCATGTGGGAGCCGGGGCGGGAGCCAGGGTTGACAATGGGAATGGGGTTGCGGGCCCGGGTGGCGGCGGGTTGGTGAAGTTTCATGGTGTGCTGCTGTGTCTGCTGCAGCGCAGGGAGAGTAAAGGAAGGAGACGATGCGTTGAGGGAGAATGCAGGTGCCGCCTGGGCAGGTTGCGATGGCGAGTGCTCCGGAGAGTTACTTGCCAGCGAAGACCGCTCAGAGGAGGCACTGTGGATAGAAACCAAGTCGCTCTCGGTCAGCAAGGACGGGCAGAACTCCATATCGTCTTCCAAGTCAAACGAGCGACCAGCCTCAAACTTGACGCGGAAGGCGGTCAGGTTCAGGCTGTCAGTCATCTCCTTGATCGAGCGAATCTGGCGGTACTGATGATGTTGTTGCTGCTTGTGTGCGTTCTGGGACACGGACAGGCGAGGCGCCCGCCGACTCCGGCCACCGTGGTGGGAGTGGCTGACAGCGGGCGCCGTTGCCGTCGTGGTATGTTGCTGGTGAGCATTGTAGTAGTAAGACATTATCGACCGACGGGTGTTGAACTCAAATCAACATAGATATTGTGTTGGGGTGGGTGTTGGTTGGTGAAGAACTTGTTGTCGTTTGGAGAGTGGAGGATTGCCGTGGTTGCCAGATTTGCATGTATTTATTTAGGTAGAAATATGACTCGATCTTGGGTTGTGTAGGTAAACTCCCAAGTGGCGTTCTTATTTTTGATCGTTTGCCTGTCAAAGTAGCAGTGTGCCCAACGATGTCGAGGGATTGTTCAACCAAGTTGCTTTCCAAAGTCAACTCAAGGTTCGTTGGGTCGTCAAAAAGACCAAATGTGTCGAAGCAATACGATATCGGCGAAATGGAGGGAAATCAGGCAGTGATAGAAGACTGAGCAGTGAAAAGTAGATGGTATCAAGAAGAAATGGAAGAACGTAAATAAAGAAGACCGTCAAGGAAGAAGAGTAAGATGTGATGGTAGAGAAGAAAGGGGACGAGAGGAAGAAGTGCTTGCTTGGGTGTGGTGTGCGGAAAAGAGAGGTTTGAAAGATGAAGATGCAGGTTGCGAAAGTAGAAGAGGAACGGGATTGGGAGAGAGGGCACTTTTGATCGGTTCGGTGGTGGTTGGGGGATATGGGTCGGTTGTGGGTGTGAGAGTTTTCAGTGCGGTGTGGGAGGGAAAGAGCGAAGAAAGAAAGCGAGAAGGGCGAGGGAAATGGGAAAGAGCGGGAGGTCGAACAAATGCCACAGCGACGAAAGCAGGACTTCAGTTGGACTGGGCCTGGAAGCAGGCAGAAAACTACCAGAACCAGCCAGCAGACCAGCAGGCACTCTAGAATGTCGAGGAGCACAGTGCACGATTCGACGCATTACGGGCTAAAGTCCGCCCCAGTCAATCGAGGGTCTTGTCAACCACTGAAATTGCCAGAGGAAGGCAACTAACGCCCTGGCTAGCCAGGAGACAGTCGTTGGGTGATAGTACGTATACAGTGTGCAGGGGACTAGAGGATCGTTCTGCCCAGTGAGAGCTGGAGGGGACTGGTGTGTGCGAAGGTGAAAAACAGAGGCTGGAGTGTGCATGCATGCGACACTCTTCACAAGCGAATAGGTGCTCAGAAATAGCGTCTGGACAAGGCGAGAGCGGCTGGGAAGTTGATCGAAGAGGGAAGGGAAGGAAACCATGCAGCAGGCTGCATGATGATGAGCACAGTGCAGTAAAATGTGCATTCTTTTCATTCGAGCGCTGGACGACAGAGGCGAAGGAGGGGCGCAGCGTCTGGGCTGGCCCAATAGCGGGCATGGCTAGGCCGGATCAAGGGTGGTGCGGAGGGCACAGTGCGGGCTGGCATGCCAGGACTGCAACTTGCATCAGGTGGCCGAGAACGGATCAGGAAGAAAGAAAACAAAAACAAACCAAAAAGGCTGAAGAACAGTGGAGAATCAAAACAGAATGCAAAGGACAGCAGGGCGCTGCGGAAATAGAAACTGACTACTTATGCACGTGCCCCGCGCACTGTGTCCACCGGACGGGGCCCCAAACAGCCAGAGAGCAAATAAGGCAAAAGGAAAGAGCGATTGGACCCATATAAAATGTCTCCACTCACACTTTCCTGCTCATTTTGGCCCATATCAGGCGTAGCGTGCAAGACTCCACACCATTATCAATGGTCGCCGCAACGTGGACCCCGCTTTTCTGCATTTCACTCTGCACATTCCGTTCGCCACCATCGAGTTTTGCCACTCAGCCATTGGCCCAGCCATGACCAAGCGCTAGGCCGTCGAGGCCGTCTGGCTGTGACAGTCCTAGACAGGGTTTCGGGTCAAATTGGACTGGCGGCTGGAGCGACAGCGCCAGCACTTCTCTTTTCCTTCAGGTCTTCGCCGCCCTCTTTGTGTCCATGTCCCGCGTGCCCATCAAATTTCTCTGGCGTGCAGGCCGGATGGACTTGGTAGCAACAGCATGCCACTTGCTCACGCAACCGGCAAAATTCCAGACAAGTTCACTGCTGCGCAACCCTCCGATGCCTTCCGACTGCTCGCTTCGTATCGGAGCTTCCAGAGCGGCTCCTCCGCAGACATCCCAACCCACTTTGTTCACGGTGTGGCCGTACTCAAGATGCAAATGAACTCGCAGCACGATGATCAGCCATGTCGGCGCACGCCAGATGACGAGAAGCCCTTAAATGGCGAATAGGATGGCAATCAAGAGGTGTAAGATACTCCGTACGGGGCACGCGACAATCAACCGAACCTCTCTGGACTGTCTCGCTTCGCTTTTGATGCTTCACAGAAAAGGGGCTCGAACAATGCAATTTAGAGGGCCCCATCTGCTGCGCTCCAGCGTAATAACAAAGTGAGTCGCCTTGCATTGCATGACCTTTGGGCGGAAATGGACCCTAGCGGTGGATGTCAGTGCATAGCCGCTGGACTGTAATCTCTTTGCACTGCGGAGCACGGAGTACGACAGCTGTGAGGGCATGCGGAAAAGTAGTAATTTACAGGCAATATGCGGACTGGCTTCTGGGTTCTCTCACGCTGGAGCATTTTGTTGAGGCGTGTGCTTGGAGGTCCCGAACGGTGAAACTGCCTCAAGACCGCGACCGAATCAGAAACAGAAAAGGGGGGAGGAGGGGTGACCAAGAAAGGTGCCTTTGTGCTTTCGCCTCGGTCTTGGCAGGTTCTTTTTGACCAGCCCAGACCCTCCCTGGTCGGCGTGCAGTGAGTGACCTTGGTTTGCAAATTGCGGAGTTGTTCTTACATGCGACACAAAACACAGAGCATCTCTGCACAGTACAACACTCTGGCGATGCAAGTTTCTAACACAGGTAGTACCACGTACGATGTACTTTTGTCCACCCTTTGGCGCTGGTTCTCGATCTAGACCTGCCTCTTGACACGACGTTTGCCGCAAAAGCTCTGCACTGTCGACCTATCATCACTTGCCGCCTTGCTGGGTTGCAAGCAAGGGTGGACTGGCGTTGCGGAGGGAGGGTTGGTCGAGAAGAGGATCCATAGGCTTATTGGCGTCTCTGAAGCTGCGAACCTCACGAGACAGGGACGGCCTGTCCAGTCTGGCCACCGTCGGCCGACTGGACGCCAGATGAGGCCAGAGAGAACAGTCCTGGCTTCGGACGATAACCCTTTCGATCGGCCACCTCTTTTTCATATTCCTTGCCACTTGCATTCTTACTTTTTTCTTTCTTGAATTCTTGACTACTTCTTACACACGTCAAAGTTCTTCAAGACGGTCAAGTTCCCAGGGGTGAACCCGCCTGCATATATTCTTGTGAGATACGTGCCTGTTCCTGGCTATAAATTACGTCGTAGAAGCAATGGGCGCACGTCCGTTACCAACCACGCCTTTGCTCAATGCTCTGACGTCGTATTTAAGTTTTAGGGAGAAGGTACGGAGCACGATAGTACATATGTGGAGACAATGATTCTAAAGGATGGAGTTGTGCATGTCTTGCTGGACACTGAGAAGAAATCGTCACGACTTTTAGCAGGGTCAAGATCGGAGCGGGAGGACAATTCAAACGTCAAGACCCCCTCCCCCCACGTACCCAACTGAGCCGTGGATAGACTGAATGTTTCAGGAGGCGGGGAGCGATCGTGAGATGGAGGAAGGATGTGGGAAGACGAGGGAGGTCTGGACGGTCGTCCTCATTGGACAATGTTGCTTACCATCCAGCGGCTCTAAATGCACTTTATTAGCCTTTTGTGCATCTTAGCAATATCCATCGCTTCACTGCATTGCTCGACAAAACATGCCAATTTATTTGGCTGTGTGTGCCGGAGGCTCTATTGCATCTCCACCTTTACTCAAGGTAATTGCTCTGTCCGACATAGATTGCTCACATTGTCACATAACGCCGGCTGGCAGGAGCGTCGATGGGCGGAGGCAATGCCTTTCAAGTCATTTGCAGCCCCAGCCCTGTTGAACGAGCGTGTTGATAATCAAAACCGAGGCGGAAGCGGAAGAAAAGCTTAAAGAAGAAAACAAGTATGAAAGTCTTCCAAGGGCACAGCGGTTCAAAGCTCTCCAAATACTGAGACGGTCAAAATATTCTTGTCTTTCGTTCATGTCTGGCAGTGACCCCAAACATGCATCGAACATGTGTATCTATGCCCATTGCCCTATTCCTAACGGTGCGCCGGAATTCCGCCTCACGCCGTTCAACAAACAACAGCTGGCTCGCCTAGCAACAGCATCATTCCATTGTCGACGGACAAGACTCCTCTCAAGGCAGGCAAGACAAGCAAAGCTCACAGGTGTTTCACTCTTGAAAAGAAGCAGGGAAGAAAGGAGCTGCATAGAAACCGCACAGAAACCGTGCACATCAAGCCGATCTTGTGCAGAAACGTCCTGTGCAGAAGAAACGGGCTTGGACCAGTGGGATGGCATCAAAGACTACATCGTATCGCTTTCCTTTCGATTTTCACTCGTGACTAGCATCCCTTACTTCGGGTTTGTATCTTTCCCCGGAAGCGCATGGTCAGCTTACCCAAAGTATCCAGCAACATTGTGTCCAAGAATGTGATATGGTTGTGCGGTCTTTCTCAACAGTTTGCCTGGTTCCAGTGGCACAATGTTCCAGAGCTGTCATTTTGCCGTTCTTTGCCCTCTGGCCAATCCCTCGCCGTAACCCTACACCACGATCGTCCCCATCGGTTCTCCTTCTCACACCACCAAAGTAAATAGGCCTAGAAAACCCTTGTAAAGAGCGGTGAAAGGTTCTGCATGGCCCCCATGTCTTGGTTCTGTCCTCTCTATCATTCAACAACAGGCCTGTCAATAGCGCCCCCTCCCGCCCTCGTAACAAAACTTAAGTCGGCCTCCCACACGTTTTCACTGGTCCATAACGATCCTGTCCGGATGAAGCATGTTACCCTGCTAGCCGCCAATGGCGCGTATTCGTATGCATTTCAATTTAATTGACCGCGCGGTCCATTGCTCTAGGGACACGAAAATTATGTCGTCCACGCGTTCGAAGAGTAATTGAAGACAGAGACGTGAGAAGCAGAGATAGAGGATGGCAGGAAGACAAGAGTCGCTCACATCCTGGCTTGTTCTCTTCGCTAAAAGGGACCCCCATGGGAAGATCACGCAAGCTCCGTGCACGCCATTCACACTTTAAAACGAACCGGCAGGACAAGAAACACGGCAGCATAAGAAAGAACGAAGAGCAAGAGACAAGAGACACCAAAACCTGGGTTGATCAGTCAAACACTTCTGTGTTTATTTTCCCTTTCCACTGATAACAGAGACGATGAGTATTATACCACACGGGCAGGCCACGCTGGAAACAATCAACTGGGCCCCGGCGAAGCGTTTTTGATGGAGTGCTTTTGATGTGTCCCGTGTTTAAATTGCTTGGTTTTAACGTGACACACCATATTCCCTGCAGATGGGAAAGAGGCACACGTCAGAATAAGCGATACGACGCAGGGGGGCAGGAGAGAATAAAGTGGTCAGAAACAAAAGGTCTGGATCTTCCAACAAACCGTGGAACGAAAAACTGCATTGCTATTTTTGGGAGAAGAAGAGGCAGATTTTGCAATGCCGCTACATCAATTGGTTCAGGGTATGCGAAAGGCATGCCGTTCTTCATATGCACTCTGATTGCATTAAAGTTTGAACCTCTTTGTTTCTTGTTCACGGAGGGCGTCCGATCGCTTGTTTGGGTGGCTGTGATGTTCTGCCTTGGTTTGGGCTACTTCGTACAAAGACTCCTTCTTGCATTCCCAGCCAGGAGCCCGAAATGTCGAGGGCTCTCTGCAAGTCACGCCCAAAAACGTCGTAGGCTTGATAGATCTGGGTGGCCTCTTCCTTGGTGTCCCACTCCGGCAGACTGCAGCATCCCTTCTCGGGTGGCTATGCAGGCGGGTTGCCTGCCTGCATGAAATTTGCTTCGGATGAAAAGGGGTTGAGCAGCACATCAGTGATCTCATCGACCACGTGACGTCCTGCTGATGGTCAATGACCCTGTAACGTGGCGTCCCGACTGTGCACGGACCGTAACACACGCCAAAGCCACCCCCGGAGTAGAAATGGGCTAGTAGGAGCTTGGACTTTGATGGGGCTGTTCCATACAACGGCGGCTGTCACGTGCCGTCAGCTGGTAGTCTAGCCATAGAAAAGGCATCACGCAGAAACATTCTCATGGGCACGACAACATCAGGAAGTCAAAATAATATTGGAGTTACTGACACTTTTGTTATGTCCTTTTAAGGTTTCTATTTTTTATTTTTTTGTAGAAAAAAATTGCTCGTTATTGTATTGTAACATTACAAGTTTTATTAAATTTTTTGTAAACCCTTCAAACCTTTAGCACAGTATTTTGTTTTTTTTTAATGTACACAAAACGAACAGCACGATAACTATGCACAACAGTAAAGAATTTCTGCATAATTTAACTCCTACAAATGTAACACCGTTTTATGGTCAGTCCGGAGGGCTGACTAGGAAATGTGGTGCTGAGGCACATCGATTAACCATTTGGAAAACGGCAATAAAAGCATCCCAACGTTGTACAGGGTTTCATGGGCATACCAAAATAGTTACAAAAAGTATAGTTAGAATTCCAAGGGATTGATAGATGGGACCTATAACCAACGAAAAGAACCGATGTTGTAGCGGTGGTCTTATTTGCTGTTTTTGGGTAAGAGACAGTCTCGAGCATTCGTTGTCGTTCTTTGCCCAGAACAATTACGTCATACACATGCTACAGTTCAGCAACTTTGTGTGGTAATCACCGTTCCCCTGGGGCCGTTGAAGAACGAGGGGCAACATGCTCTCGGCAATTGAAATTAAACTGATACACCTTTTTATCATCGGCTCTTCATTGACGGAGTACCAATTGCTTCATCACTACTCAACTTTTGAAACCTTGCGTCGCCACACCCCTCAACCGCATCATCCAACATGGCATCCTTGCTTCGCACCAGCGTTCTCAGCCTCCGCCCAGCCTCTGCGGTCGTCCCAATAGCAGTTCGGCCGCTGTCGACGACCGTCGCACGGAGGCACGGTGAATCCGAGAGCAGTGAGTATCGCTCGCCTCTCCTTCGCTATCTTCCGTTTTCCCATCACTAACACGCCTCAAGATGACCCCGAGTTCGAAGTCGAGAAGCTCAAAAAGGCATCCCTGGAGCGCCAGAAAAAGGGCGAGGGCGAGTGGATGTCCTCACTGGCCTCGGACAGTGAAGAGAACGTCAAAGCAGATCGGTCCAACTTCAACGTAAAAGACGCCGTCGAGCAGGCCAAGGCCGCACACAATGCCAAGCAGCCGTCCAGCAGCAAGAACAAGGCATAGACAACTGCTCTGCCTATACATATCGACAGGGTCCCCAAAAAAGAAAGGAAGTGTGCAACTGCATTTGGGACGAGGTTTTGCATTTGCAGATTAGGTATAACGGGAAAATGTAAATGGAAGGACAGCATTGGGGCTCTATAGGGTATATTCGACTGCAATAACAACAACAAAAAAATACACTGAGCGTTGGCTAAACTACGAGGACCTCTAAGAATTAAAGACGACAAAGAAATACAAGGGTGTAAGCAAATGGTATATGGAGAGAACGGAAAACACAAACATACAATAAACGCGGACGCTCGATTTCGTCAGCCCAGTTGGACTTCCAGGTCTTACCTGGTCACGCCTGGGGGCTGCCGACGGCCTCGACCACGTCCCCGGCCACGGCCACGAAGTCCGCCGCCACGGCGCGCAAAGTAGGGTTTGCGAACATTAGATGCGCCCGCACCGGACTCGTCGCTGTCGTCAGTGTTGCTTTCGGAGTCATCATGTTGCTGCGAGACGGGTGTCTTCTTGCCGCCACCTTGGTAGTCTTCGTCGCCACTGTCACCGCCTTCGCTGTCTGAACTGACAAGCCGTACCATGGTCGGGCCGCCATCACGAGATATCCCAACGGGTCGCCCACGAGCCGGCCGGCCACGTCCGCGTCCGCGGCCACGTCCACGTCCACGGCTGCCTAAAGAGGCGCCGCGTGAGGGCAAGGACGGCGGCGTGGGACGAGGGAACTCGTCATTGCTACTCTCGTTAGAGAGGCTTGTACGGCGACGAGTGACCGTTGGAGCAGGCTTAGGCGTAGACCTCGTCTCCTTTGTCGATGACGAGGGTATGACCATTGGCTTGTTCACGGGCTCAATCATGACAGCCGACGAAAATTTGGACGCAGGTGCAGGGGCGGTCGCCGTTGACAGTGATTTGACAGTTGAAGATGTTGCGCTACTGTCCTTATTCTTGTCCTTCTTCTTGCCGCCCATCTTGAACTTCTTGCCCTTGAGCGCCATGCGTTCTGCCATGGACATGAATTGGATGGAAGGGGGCGGAAGGACACCCGGGGTATTGGGACTGCTGGGACGCCCAACAGAGAGGCTGGGACGTCCCGCTCTTTTAGGTGGCCGGCCCGGCTTCCTCTTTGGCGGAGCACTGCTGGGGCCTCGGAACGAGTTGTCGCTGTCGCTGTCGCTGTCGTCGTCGTCGTCCTTGCCGGTACCAGCCGTACTTGTGCGCCCCTTGTTGGGAGGCCGCCCGGGACGTGCCGCATTGACCGGCTTCCAGGCGCTGCCAAAGCCCTCCACGGACTTCTTTCCAGCAAACGCAAGGGAGGCTGCAATGCGAGACCGTTTTGCCGCAGGCTCGCTTGACGGTGTGGCAACTGAACCTGCTAAGTCGCCCATACTTGACCGTGGCGGTCGACCACGCTTCCGACGCTCGGGTTGTGCCTGTCCAGCCTCTTTGGAAGAAGAACCAGCAGCGGCAGTTGCAGTTGTGGTATCTTTGGTCGACTCTATGGTGCTTCTAGCCGGCAATGGCGATGGTGAGACCGGAGCAACCTCGGCAGACGGCTCCTTTTCGACTGACGGAATAACATCCGTGTCGTTGACGACAGCAACCTTTTCCTTGGTCGTCGTGACCTCTTCGTCGGCTTCGTCACCGCTGGCTTCATCAACAAGATACGAAACCTTTGGCCTTGCGTGCCGAAGTTCGATAATGTTGGCGGGATATCCATGGGTCGGTCCGTTAACCTCCTCTTCTTCGTCTTCATTGTTGGCAGTATCGGCATTGTTGTTTTCGACCGTTTTTGCTTCCTGATTAGCTGCACCATCTGCGGCACCTGCCATGGCCGTTGCGATCACGGCTTCGATTGGCGAGGTAGCCGCTGGAGGAGCAGCAGCTGTAGTGATCTCGGAACTGGCAATATCTCCCGTAGCCGTAGCACCAATGTCAGCAGCGGTGGTCGCAGGTGGCGGGTGCTGTGCGTTCAATAGCGCTGGGTCCAGGTTCATGTTAGGATCAGTGTCGGTGGCTGGCTTCGGAGCCTTTCGGTTTCTCTTTTTTGGGCCGGTGTAATCGGGATCTAGGTCTTTCTCCTGCTTTGGTTTACGAATCGGCTTGTGTGTATAGCCCTCCAAGAACTCAGGCAGTGTATCCATCGAGCCTAAGCTGCCGACCGTTGGGTTCGGCGCAGGTTCATGGTACGGGTCGAACAAGATCTTGTTCGGGCTGTCGTCGTCGTCCATGTAGTACGCTCTGCCAAAGGTCGTCACCGCCAGCTCGTTGTTGAGCATAAAGTCCGATGGGTTAGGATAACCGTCGACCAGCTCCGGGTAAGATGTAGCCGAGCCGTCCTGAAGCAGAGACGGGTTGACGCCGGACTCGCCGCCATGGATTTCGTGAAGAGGGTGGGCACTGTTCGGTCCGGCCACCATCGTGGCCCCAAAATCATGGTCATTGTCCACCACGCTGTGGTCCTGGCTGCCATTCTGTAAACTACCGAAACCATTTTCTAATTCGCCTTCAGCTCCTTGGGCTTTTGCTGCGTCGGCTTCTTGTCGTAGTCTTTGCATACGTTTGCTGGCAATACTGCGACCCTCCTCGCCGCTGTTCTTCAGCCATAGCAAGTTGTGTAATCGGAAATTGATGAGCGACTCGACACTTCGGTCGTCGGCAATGGGACGTGTATCGTGGCCAAGTAGAGTGCCCTTTGGAATGTACGGGTTGGTGATGCCCGCTCGCCTGCAGGCGCCGCAGTTGCAGATCTTCATGCACCGGGGGCACTTCCAGTACTCCATTTGCATGATTGATTGGGGCATCATGTCGAAGCCCCGGTACAGTACACCATAGCAGTAAGCCTCAAGGCAGCCGGGTGTCGTGCAAAACGCGAGGCGGTATCTGTGATCTTTGTGGCAGCAGACGTGGCAACGGTAGGTATCGCCCTTTTTCGACCGACTCTTCGTTTTCTTCTTGATAACTTTGCCGTTGTCGTCGACCTCGGGCGCCTCGGGCTCCTCGGGCACCTCGGGCTTTTCCAGGGGTTTCGTGATATCTCTGAACGGCCGTCGGCGAAGCTGCTCTTGACAAATCTGTGCCACTGGCTTCTTGCCAGAACGGAGTCTAGCCACCTCGAGGGGAGCCGGCGATGAGAAGGCGTCGATAAAGCCATCGTTGATTACTACCATGGATTGCCAGCGGTCGTAGTTGCTGACAAGCTCCTCCCATGGCCACTGCTCACACCAGCCGAGGCCCGAAACGCACATGCACGAGCGGCCCATAGCGTAGCACTCCATACAGACATCATATGTATCTTCGTCGCCGTCGGCAAGTGGCCGCACGCAGTGCTTGCACGTCAGAAAGCGGTTGAAAATGTTGGACCGGCAGTACGAGCACGTGATGTTGGAATCGAAGGGGATGTATTCGACGTTTTTCTCTTTAGTGTTGAACATCTCGTCCACGAGGATCTCTGTGAATAGCCGCATCAACTTCTTGAAGTCGTCGGCGACCTGCGAGGTTCGGACAGGGTTGCGCATGGTGTCCTGGTCGATACCAAACGAGACAAGTTGGCGGTCCGTCTGCGCATATTCGAGCACCTTGTAATACTTCTTCATCGTATAGTAGATAATGGCCTTGTTCTTGTACTGCTCGTCACGACAGACAAGTCGCGCCTTGGGCAAAGCCTCGTGCAGCGCCATCTCCAGTGTCTCGACAACAGTGCGGTTCCAAGCCACCTTCATGGTTCGTGTGCCACGGTTCCAAACCTGGTGCGGCGCCAGTGGCGGGATCAGAATGAGGTCGCCCACCTTTTGTTTGACGATATAGACGGGAAAGGCAGCTTTCTTCCAGGCATTGATCTGCGCAAAGTGCTTCTCGATCTCGACATCGTGACCCAACATGGACAAGAAGTACTCGCCGACGACTTCACGGTCCTTGGTCTCGGTCATAAACCAAATCGAGCTGCCGGGGATTTCGCCGTTTTCAGAGCCCGAAGCCTCGACCATGATGTTCTGGCCCAGACTGGCGCACATCTCTCGATGGGCCGGTGTGTATGTGCCCTCGTGGCCAATGTAGCACATGAGGTTGTCGGCACGCATTTCGGGCGGAAGGCTGCTCATCAGGTCGCCAGCGCGGGCCGTCGGGCGGTCGTCTACAAACATATCCTGGCCATCATCGGTCATGCCGTAGTGGTTCGTGCTGTGGCCGCCCTCAATGTCCTCGTTGAGATAGAAGATTAGCCGTGGGAGAACCTTGGCCAGCTTCTCTTGCCATTCGGGCGGGCAGTCAATGTCCTTGAGGTAGAGGCGCTGACGGCGTTCGTCGCGGAAGTTTCGAGGCGTCCACTGGTCCGTGAGCTGCTTCATGGAGCGCAAGTAGTGGCCCATGGTCATGGGGATGTTGGTCTTCCCGTTAATGTCCCACACCTGCTCCTCCTTGCGGTTGTATACCTCCTCGAGCCATTTGGCACTGAAGAGGTCCTTGGGCAGACGGTCGTTCCAGTCCTTGATAACGAGGGGCTTGCCGCCGTTGATGACGTGGATCATTACAAGCTTCTCGAACCGCTGCTGGCCGAGCGCAAATATCTCAGACGCAGAGATTTGTGTGGCCCATTCGAAGTTGGGCGTGTCCTGAACGAGGGCGTGGAGGTCGAGGTCCGGTGGGATTGGGTCGAACTTCGCCTGCGGGTGTATTGCGACCGGAGGCATCGTGGCGAGTCGGGCACGAGGCACAGCCAAGTGTGCCTGCAGTGGGAGGTGTGCCTATAAGAGGTGTGAACCCACCGTCCCGGTGGCGCGGGAGTATCGTGTTGCAAAGCAGCGAATCTCGTAGTGGCGCAATGGCGCAGATGAGGTGGTGCTAGAGAAGGCTGAGAATGATTGTTGCTAACGCATGTAGTGGCCTGCTAGGATCGCAAAGCATGCCGGGGTCAACATGCTGCACGTAGCGCGCGGCAGGCAAATAAAGCGGTGAAGGAGTCGTCGCGAGCAAGGTCGCGTATGCAACAGAATTGATCGTGTTTTAGGCGGCGACGAGATAATGTTTGCGCCTGCACTTTTTTCTCTTTGCACGGGCTCCAGCCGTTCGGCGTTCTGGCGGCTTGAAGCGACCCCCGGCATGCGGCGGCGCCTTCTCAAAAGAAACAGTAAGCCAATGAGAGCGTGCTGTTTTATTGAGCTACATGATTACATAACACGACTTTCCCCAAAAATGTACTATCGTGTAGCATACTTCACAGCTCCGGACAGAGTTCGAGGCGATACGGAGCTTGGCGATACGGAGCTTTGGAGTTCACGACATTGACAGACCTTGAAGAAATTTAAGCAGTTTTGGAAAAGAACACTGTGTACGGTACGCTTCACCTGGATACAGACCTCAATGCTTTACCAATCAGTCCGGTTTTACCATTTCGATTTGCGATCATTTTCAGCTATCCTCCCGCCGGAGACCCGCGTGCAACACAGGGTCCGGATATGGTTTAATTTCAGATGCTTTGCTTCTTTAACAATACTAACCGTATTTCACAGTCGCCTGCTATGGGGTCGTTGTTCTTCCATGTTGCCCGGTCCTTGCGGCCGGCATACCAGTCACCACGTCGTGTTGCTGTCAGGCCAATGTCGTCCAGGGCGATGAAAACAATTTACGCCAGTCTCTCGACGGGTAACTCTAGCTGGAAGAACTCCAGCGTGCCCGTAAGACTATCGACCGTGCGTATATGTGGCCCACCGGCACTTTCCAGAATCCACACAACGGCAGTTCTGTCCAGTCCGGCTTCAGCAACGGCCGTCACTCCGGATGTGAGGCCACCGGCGCCGTATTCGCCACCGACAACCGGCATTCTTTCGATTCTTCCCACATCATGGGTACCGTATGCAGAACTCATTCGTCTGGACAAACCTACCGGTTCATACTACCTCTTCTTCCCCTGCCTTTTCTCAACACTTATGGCCGCCCCTATGGTTGAGCCAGCAATGGCATCACCAGCCTCGGTTGCTGGCACAACTTTGCTCTTCTTTACGGGCGCCGTCATCATGCGTGGTGCCGGTTGCACGATAAATGACCTGTGGGACCGCAATCTTGATCCTCATGTCGCCCGCACACGCCTGCGACCGATTGCCCGCGGCGCTGTGACGCCCTATAATGCCCTCGTTTTTACAGGCGCACAGCTTCTCACAGGGCTGGCTATCTTGCTGCAGTTCCCGACGCCCTGCCTGTACTACGGCATCCCGAGTCTGGCGCTTGTTGCGACCTACCCGCTGGCAAAGCGCGTGACATACTACCCTCAGTTTGTATTGGGCCTGACATTCTCGTGGGGTGCCATCATGGGCTTCCCGGCACTGGGCATTGATCTCTTGTCCAACTCGGCGGCTTTGGCGGCATCTGCATTCCTGTATACTTCCAATATTGCATGGACAGTACTCTACGACATGATCTACGCCCATATGGACATCAAGGATGACGCCAAGGCGGGCATCAAGAGCATTGCGCTCAAGCATGCTGCGCAGACCAAGGCCGTGCTGATCGGCCTGGGCGCTGTGCAGATCGGCCTGCTGGCCGCTGCCGGTGTAGCATCTGGTGCCGGCCCGGTGTTCTTTGTGGGCAGCTGCGGCGGCGCATTGGCTACACTGGGCATCATGATCAAGCGGGTCAAGCTTGAGAGTGTCAAGGACTGCTGGTGGTGGTTCGTCAACGGCTGTCTATTGACCGGCGGTGTGATTAGCCTTGGCCTGGGGGTGGACTACCTAGTTCGGTACAACAACCAAGAACCCCAGAAGAAGATCGCGGCATAGATAACAAAGATTCAGAGGGCCAGTCCCCGTACCATGTACGAGTATGCAACACAGAATATAAAAGAGCGGGTATACAACGTAATAGCAGTTTTCAATTCAAGACACTGCCAACATGGAGCACGATACTGTTTTTTTTTTTTTTTGAATGTTTTACATTGTTTTTGCTAGACTTGAAACTACCAGAAACCCCTACAGCGAACCAAAGAGTGCCAACTCGCCCGGTGATACCAAGAAGGCAAATATACACGAGGATATATTTGCGTCCGGGTTCGACCACGAACCTGGGATCAGGACCCGGGCACCGTCCGTTTCTCCATTCAGTCGGTCACTGTCGGCTGTGCAGTCCCATTTCCGGTCTGCACTGTTTCTCATGCAGTTTTATGTTGGTCGCTTTCCTTTGCCTTTTGGTGTCTTTGCGTCGTTTGATTTTGTGTAACAAGTGAAAACCGATAACCCAAGTTTTTTAACGTTCAGTGTCGTCCACACAATTCCGAAGCCTGCCCGTCGACGCCGTTGGTGCACATCCTCCCTTGTTGCCGCGAAAAATAAACAAGACCGAGCTATTTACGATCTTGGCTTCTCCTTCTTCTCCTTCCACAGGGCCAGCAGACCGACACCGGACACCTTGACGACCTTGAAACGCACACCGGGAATATCACCCTTGGCCTTGCCCTTGCGACCGAAACCGGCCAGGAGAACCTCGTCGTTCTCGTCCACGAAGTTCAAGCAACCGTCGTTGGGGACTGGGAAGAGGAGAGAATCAGTTAGTATTGGGTTGGCAAGGCCCACAAGAGCAGCATTGTCGAATGTATCGTTTTACTCACCGAAAGCAGTGACTTTCTTGCCGTTCTTGATGAGCTGGACACGGACACACTTGCGAATAGCCGAGTTGGGCTGCTTGGCCTCAACACCGACCTTCTCCAGAACAATGCCCTTGGCGTGGGAAGAGCCACCGAACGGAGACGACTTGAAAGCGGTACCCAGGGCACGCTTCTTGTAGGCAAGATCGGACCAACGCTGCTCACGGCGGTTGTTCCGGAGCTTGCGCGCTGCGTTAAGACCACGAGGCTTTCCTTTACCCATGTTTGCTAGAAACGAACAGCGTTAGACAAGATGACACCTTGACAGATTGCAAAAAGACGGCTGGTTCCGAGGCCAAGGGCGAGAGAGAGCAGGCGGTCATCGAATACGTGAGACGGATAGCAAGTTGTCGTTAGAGCAGTGGTCGTACGTGAATCAAGAGCAGTTCCGTTCGTCGGTCGTAATGTTTTCGAATCGTCTGTCGTCGTTTCGTGTTGCGGGAAAGCTGCCGTGATTTCGAATCGCAAAAAAAAAAACGTAGATATTGTCGCCCAGTCACTACCGAATGTTGAAAACCGTCGCTCTCTCGTCGTGGTGGCTCGTCAAGAAGGAAGAATATGCGCCAAGCAAACGTACCGATTCGTGTGTGGTGATCGCTGTGAAGATAGTTTGTTGATGGAGGAGGGAGTTGGAAATCGAGACAAGCAGGAAAACTTCACAACTACAATGGAAACTTTTTCGGGTCGGGGCTGGCAAAAAAATGGAAGACCAAGTACGGGCACACCACCTCCCCTTTCGATCCAGTAGGGTTTTCTCGCCCTACCTTTTCTAATGAAAAAAAGTGGAGGTTTTGGAGGAAGAAAATTCTCTGGCCTATTGCGCGCCTAGAAACGAGCCCCGCAGTCACATGATTACTTTTACATGCATATCTATCTATAAGAATATTGTTTAAATGCATATTTTGCCAGAACGTCAGTGCGCCTCGAAGCTGCCCTGGAAAGCTACCTACATGGCATCAACCAGTAAGGTAAAACACATCGCAGCTGGTTAAAAAGGTCAAATCGCAAGATGTAGCCATGTCTCAGTGGACTAAGGGAAAATCCAAGCAGCGGGGGCCGCCGCCGGCCCTATTTACCAGCTCTTCACCAGCTTCATCCAGCCTCTCGCTTGCAGGTGGAGACACCGGAAGCGGTGCTGTTGGAGGGACAGCCGGGCAGGGCCAGCCGACCAATGCTGGGACTGCTAGTGGGCTCGGCTTGGGTGCTGCCGGTGCATCACCTGGCGGAACCACGGCCGCTACATCCCGCATGCCGTCTCTGCCTACGCTACAACGCACGACATCGCGACTTAGACAGGAGGTCAGCAACGGAGGTGGCGGCGTGAGCACTTCGGGCAGCCCGCCCCCCGCATTATCGGCAAACTCTTCGACCGTACACAGCCAGGGCGCCAGTCAGGGATCCTTGCTTGTGGGTGGCACTGGAGGCTCGGCCGTGGCAACTCAGGCGAGTGGTGCGTACGCTGCGTCTGGAGGTTCTGCCACCAAAGCTCGTGCACCCGCGACGGCGTTTTCTCTTCCTCTCCCTCTACGCCATGCTTCCTCAACACGAGCCACCGATAGGACGGACGCTCTCTGGGCTGAGATGCAGGCGACGCTTGAGGAGGTGGAGCTGTCGGCGTCCGAAGGTACGCGCGTGTTCGGCCCCGACCACGACCAGAAACTGGTGGCACTACGCCAAGCACAGATTGCACTGGCCCAAGCCTGGGCTCAAAGCGAAGCGGACGAGGCCGGCGGTATTGGCGGCGAGGGTATGCTGGGAGAGGGCGAGCTCTCAGCGCACAACCTGCTCAAGGCTGCGACAACGACGGCGACGAGCATGTCGGGTGGTGGTGCTGGAGGAAAGGACGACGAGGTCTCTGCTGGCGGCGGGCTCAAAGGGGATGGCAGTGCCGCCACACACTCGAGAGACAATGTCGAGCGCGTTGCAAACCGCCCATTGGAAGAGGAAACGCAAGTAGATATCTTGCTAGCCCGCAAGCGGCGTGAGGCGAACGACCGCTACTTTCAACGTGTGAACCAGGGTGTTTTGGATGTCGTCGCGAAGCTGGAGGACGTGGCCGACGCAATGCGGGCTGTCGAACAGGAGAGCATGGACATATGGGGTGGGGAGAATGACAGTGAGCAGCAGGAGAGCATTGCGTCATGAGCGAGATAGTATGACTGGGTTTGTTTTTTACGTGCTATTTAGCATGTTCCGGCGAGTGGTTATCTGTCTGCATTTTGAGCATTCTCATGGAAGCGGGATGGCGTTAGCATGCGTGTCTAGACTTCGTTTTTATGACTTTCTAGGAAGGCTCTGAATTTAAGGCCTAATAAAAACACCACGGCTTCATAAAGCCTGCACAATATAGGTCCGTCACATATATACGTTGATGCTAGTTTGCATATGCGGTTATTATCAGTTGGCGCCCATGGTACGAAGTGGCTTACATTCGGCCACTGCTTGATCATTAAATATCATAAGGGACGGTAAGCTACAGTTGTCTCTTAATTACTCAGTGTGCCTTTGGATACGCACAGAGGCCGCTGGTGCCCATCCTGGCCGATGCTCTGGTCGTGCTGGAAAGAAAAAGCTGCACGAAAGCGGCCGCCAGACATGACGAGAGTGTCGGCAAATGACCCGGCGAAATGTCATGGCAGATGCTGCGCCGTACTAACACGGAGTCTATTTGGCCGCGACCGTGATGAGGCATCAGCAACGCTATCAGATGGCACCACTGTCAAGTTGAAAGGACAGTCTGGAACGTGCGGTCGAGCAAAAGGCAGCATATCAACCATAGCTAGTCTTGTGCAGAGGAGCAGGCATGATGTAGGCGGTAGGCGCCGACGACGACCAAGCTCAAGGGGCTACAATGGGAAGCATAGACTAAAGTAAGTCTTTGGCTCAGGTAGAAACTGTGTATGAAGGCAGAACGTTAGCCTGTGAGCTGTGACACACAGTTAAGGTCCAGTTGGTGATCCGACAATCCACAGACAACCAGTGGGCCCCACATCACCGTGGAAGCACCAGACACGCTACACGTCAAGCTGCCTGTTGCCTCTTCTGTCTCTTTTTGCCGCCTGGTCCTGCCGCCTTGCAGCATGTGTGATTACCTCCTGCCCACTGACTAACATGAGCCGCCCGCCATTTATTACTGCCAATCACCGTTTCACCGCCTGGCGCTACTGCACCTTTGCCACAGGCAGAGAGAAGTCTGACCTCATTCATTTCGCCTGGCCCCTGCGACCCAGTTTTGCACCTTTCGAGCTTTTCCACTTTCGCTATTACCAAGCCATACTCGCCAGGCTGCCCACTCACAGCTGGCACCTTCTCCAGCCTGATTCGCACCTTCCCTACAGGACAAGCATCAGCGCCTGCCGCCCCATCAGAGTCGCCGTCCGGCACAACAAGCCTGAAATTTCGAACCTCTGATCTCCACCTTCCTTGACTTTTGGACCTCAACATTATTCCTGCTACACATCTTTCCGACCCATCTGCCATCTTCATCCCATACCGACGTCGTCCTGTTTTTGCATTCGAAGATAGAGCGACATTTGCATCAAACCGCGCGACATTTTGCTTTCTCGCCTCGAATTACACGACCACTTACCATTCACCCTGCTGGTGACCTAGCTCAGCCGGTCTGCGAGGCTGCCGATTTCCGAGAGACCTTCCTGCACGTTTGTCTCTCTGCTGCCGGCTGCCCACCGCTCGGCACCTCTCTTTTATTTCTGCCGTTTGCATAACCGGACCATTCGGACGATTTTCTACATCGAAGCTCGCTTGCTTCTTGGATGCTCGATCCGCGCGGGCGGAGTGATCGCCACCCACGCGTTCGCAGCCGTGGAGGGGGAGATCTGAGCTGAGTTCCATCTTATATCTCGCACTTCCCTTTCCTCCTTTGTTTCCGACTTCCCCCGTTCACGTTCCTCTGTCCTCGACCTCGCCTCGTGTCTCCTACTCGAGCTTCTTGCTTTCCTTGACAGAACCCGCCTGGGCGCCGCCACGATGGGCAAGATTACAAAGTTGCTCCAGCCGAAGCACAGGGAATCTATGGTATGCACCGCCTCTTATTGCCAACGAGCATCTGGAACCGCACCTACGGTTTTTGGTTTTCTGAACTATCTAGTCATTCATCCCGGCTCACTCTCTTTGCTAACC